AAAAACAATCGAAAACATTTAAATATAATTTATTTTTGATGTATTATCAAATTATTATAAATTATAAATATATAATGGACGTCAGAGAATATAGCAGCAGGGAGTGTTGTTCAGAATGAAGCTTCCGTGGCTTATACTCAGGAGTACATAAAAAATTATAAATATTTTGCACCCAGTGAATCCATTCTTTACGGGCAAGATCGAACGACAGTAAATCTGGGTTTTATTGCAACAAAATTAGGATTTACATAATACGTTTTGAACAAACTATATTATGAAATAAAAAAAATAAAAAGAAAGAGCGTCAAATCAATATACGGGCACTACCAAATACTGTATTGTATATTAAATCCAGAGTATAAATAAGAATATATTATTATGCTATCAGCCGGTTGCTTCGGGGCGCATTAGAACTTTCTTGGTACCCCTAATATAGTTTGGTACAAGAAAGAAGACGAATAAGAACAATCGATTAATATCAAGCCACACGTAAGTGTGTCGTGTGAAATTTCTGTACACCAAACTCATGTGGGTGATAATATTATGGGCCCCTACGGAAAACGACGATCTGGCCGCGCCGGTGCGCACGGACTGGTACGCCTACACTACGAACCAACCACCGACGCGCAGATGTCGAGCAAGCAACGCACGCTAAATTCTCGTTGTCGCACACACATGTTTGTAACACTACACTATTATATTACAACTACTATGTACGTTTTATTATGCATATATAACACACACGAAAAACAATTTACATGTATCACGGAAATTCGCCACGATGACCTCTCTCTCTAGACGCGTACATTAACCGCGTTCAAACTGACAACAAAACACTGATAACACACCTAGGGGCCCCTTAGGATACGGACTAGTGAGTCAAATATAAGATTTAAAACAAATTTGATTGTTTCGAAAATTATTGAACTTTAAACACTTGTTAGAATAATAATAATTATAAGATTTTAAATGGACTTAAACATTATAATTTCATACAATCAGTGGCAAAATATCACACTGACAAAGCAAAATCGGGAAAATATTTTTTCAAACAATATCCATACAATGTTCAATTTTTAACAGACGTGATGCTATTAGGACAAAACTAAGTTTGATTTAGGCAGTGGTCCCCTGTAGTATACTATCCGACTCTCCCTGACCGGGTATCGTCGACTGAATCTAATTCCCCCAGAAAAATCAGAAAACATCACAATTGATTAAACACAATCCTTATAAATATATTAACATCCAATAAAGTATTTATTTAAAAATAATAATACTTTGTTATATGCGCCGATTAAAATTGTTATTTGAAATACAATGATGATAAATTTAATAATTTTTATTATCAAAATTACAAAACTTTAATACATTATACAAATTATTTTTTTTAACTAGTTTTATATTTTTTAAAAAATGCCAGTGAGTACACATAGTGTATAATACCAATTTATTATTCCAACAATCAAAATCGTAAATTTAACATTTTTTTCTTAGTTTAGATTCGAGCTTGAGATCTAGTGAAATCCTACAGTTCGAAATTGATGAACACACTTAATACATTTCACAAATTATACTTGAATTATTACACGATTGAAAAAAATGTAGAACACTTGCTATTCTTTAAGCACTTAGATGGTCTGTTTTTTAGAAATAAACCTAAAACCAAATGTATAAATGAGAACCCGAGTTTTATTTAGTATGTACTGTACTGAAGCTAAAAATAGTCATGTGGGCTTGTATAATAATAATAATAATAATAATATTATTATTATTATTGTTAGGACCGGGAAACGCGTGACAAATCGAACCGAAGGTAAGTATACATGTATATATAGGTTTACCCATTTATACGAAGTGGAGGAGTAATGATTATTTGATACACGCCAGCATTACTGCACTTCCGGAGAAAGTAATTTTTCAGTTTCCTCGGCAAGCTCTCCTGCGTGCGTCCGTCGACCCCACTATACACAAAAGATTTGGTAAATCGGTCCCGAGTCCTGACGCCGCTAAAATGACATAACTGCTATCCAAGTGCCGTTCACTCATCGCGCCGAAACCAAGATCACTTCATTTGTCGCCATAACAATATTTTCATTATTTATAAAAAAAAGTATGTCGAGAAAAGTGTATCCGTTTTATGTGCGCCAAGTTTGGCTATAGTCCAGAATGATATTATTATTACTACTATGGTAGAGCAAAACACTGAGTGAAGTTGTAAAATAATACCAAGAACGAAGGCAAATCTACGACGTTTAATAGTTCGTCACAGCGAGGGGACAAGTTATTATTTCACAGCTGTTCCGGAGAATTCAATTTTTTTATGAAAATGTATGTTTCGTTCCAGCAATTCACTTTAAAAGGGGAGTAGTTCAATTAAAAAGATATTGACAGCAGAGTGAAAGTTATATTTGTCAAATATTCGTTTTAACACCCATGAATAAAATATAAATTATTTATGTTAATACATTTGATATTTCAATAATTTTAAAAGGTTTAAAACATTGAAAATATATACGTCGAACAACTGCAGAATTACGGGTTTTTAAAAATAAACATTCCTTATAAAAAAAAAAATCAAACATAAAATATAATAACGACGGATGTTTCTGTACTTAAAATCGAATACGGATTAGTTATGTTAACTTTTTCTATATTCGTGTTTTTCAGCTTTATTTTCTTGAACGATTAATTAGCATAAAACAATAATACAGTCCAAACACATTATGTGATGGATGCTCATGCATGTGGTCAGCCGAAAAATAATTATATGGAACACCAGGATCTCAACAAAACAAATCGATTGGTCACGACGGGCCCCCGTCAATATTGATGTTCATTTTTCTGCGTTTTTTATTTTCACTGTCATATATCATTATTTTTTCCCCAACTGAAAGGAGATTTCACTGGAATCGCTCCAGTATATTATCATTTAAAAACTATTCCACACATTTATATATTATACTTAATATAGTTTTAATGAAAATTGTGACACCCCGAGAGTAATCAATAATTGGCAAGGCGTTTCATAACTTTATTGGTTAAGTAAAATTTGAATAGTACTCCATTCTAACTGCACTCTAAACACAGGACGAGGTTCTATGGCGGTAAGTGGTAAAACACATACGGAGGAAGGAGAGCCAAATACATAATAATGTTTTTGTGCAAGTAAACGACTGCGTTAAGGAGAAAAAAGAAATTTGTTTGTTAATTTTTGTCTAAAATTATAAATTATACTAGAATGACGGAGCGGTGTCATAAAAAAGTCTTCACCTACATTTATGGAACCAAAATTCACAAGATATATATGCCATAACATTTGCTCACTCACGTGAAATTTGTCAAAATTGTTTAGGCATTCTGAGCTTAATAATAGCACTTTGATAAAACGTAAAATGCAAATCGTCCTTACTACAAGCGTGCACTTAACAAACATAACAATAAAAAAAAACGCCTCGACGTGACTTTATAAAACCGAACGTCGATAATCTTGTAGTAAAAGCTAAGGTGACTATGATGACTTCTTCAACTTTGCTCGTTGTTAGACACATAAAAGAAGCAATGAACGATAAACTTTTTAAGGGTGTAGATAATACCTGACAGCCGACAGAATATAATACTATATATATTTAATATCATCATTATATATAAATAAATCTATGAAAATAAAAACTTTTGCTATCTAAAATATGTGGAGCTAACTGTTTGTCGCAGACTGTCCACTAATGTGAGATAAATGCTTACATCAAACACTCGATAATTTATTATCATTAGAGCGGTAATTATCTATGTCGGTGTGAAATATTTTATTCAAACCAACTATTCCAAAATATAGCTCATACATATTATACCATAAAGGCTAAATTTGAACGAGAAATAACTAAAATGTAGACAGCAGCAATGTTAACACCAGTGTTTACTGTTTTTAATTCGACACAATAATTATAAATACACATTATTGTTAAGAGAGCTCACAAATGTATTATTAAGATCCAAATTATTCTACGAGACATCGCCGTCCTATAGCAATAGAATTCAATATAGTTGGTTTATCTTGTTTTTCAACAAAATCGATAACCTACTCATAAATCTCATGTTTTATCTTAAATATTTGGATAATAAAATATCACCTAGATTACAGTAAATACGACTAAATAGAATACATCACCGTCAAAACGTTCACCAATATATTTAAGGTAAACATGATTTATTGCTTTAAAAATGGTTGCTTTCAATTGGCGTTTAATGGCTCAAAAAGTGTAAAATGTGGTGACACCGTATAAACAGTAAACACGCACACTAAATAATATTTATTCGCCACCATTATGACCTATTTAAAGAGGTTTGTTAACCCTGAGATAATGAACTAGGAAGTAAAGATTTTTCAGTGCTTTTTGATGACATAGTGTTATCTTCTTTTAGCGTTCGCAATGTAAATTACTTTTTATACTGTCTCCCCTTCAACGCAACACGACCATACATACATACATATTTCAAGGACTATAAAGTTTATAGAAAACTGTAGTTCTTTCATTAAAAACATATATATAAATATATTACACTATCCGTAAATACCACTAACTATCATATTAAAACACACGCATTTAGTAGTTATAATAACAACCCATCACTCAGTTTCGCTGAGCATTGTTAGTGAAGTTTTACCGCAATTTTGTTAACCTCAAACCTATAAGATACTAAATACTAAACAAACATCGATGGACGAAATCGAGTGGATATAATTACAGTATATTTTTAAACATGAAATAATATATATTATCATTGAATTTCATAAAAAAAAACTAAATTGTAATCCTTATTAAAAAGTATTTGTCGCTTATATAGTTATTTCAATGAAAAATATCATCATGGTAATTAACAAGGATGTAACTTTGAAGAAAAAAAACATTTTTGTACCTTGCGCGGTAATACGAGTTCGTCGTACTACGGAGAGGGGGGATAACTTTGAAAATGTAGAATAGAATATTGGGTTTATTTACCTTTAGCGTGTTCTTTGTCCAAATTGACGACAGTCTTCTTCCAATCTTCTAGTTTCTCTTGGAGCGGAACCACTAGGCAGTCCATTATCGCGCTGCGAATCCAACAAAAAACACGTTAGTTTCGGTTACGTTCAACTCTTACAGACATATACAGGATACGCGAATGCTGTCTGTAATAAATATATGTTATACATAGAGACTAACAACTGATTTCTAACTTGAACGTCACTCGCGCTATACGCATTATATTATATTTTAATATTATTGTAATCAAGAATACATTTTACTTTAATGCAAAATTAAAAACATAAATAACTTAATAATATTAATAACAAAATTAAAAGATTAATTTTAATATTTATAACTGAAAATTCGTGCTATCCGTAACGTAATTTTATTAATAAAGTATGAACTGATACTATCTATTCCATGTCAATATGTAATAGACCCAATATAAAAATGCATTCGTTGGTCGATAAACAGTTTAAAAAACATTTGAACACGGTGCTACTTATATTGACTATATTAACCTTGATACGAGTAGACCCGTATAGGTATTCACTAAACTGATGACAAATTAAAGATGAAATATTTGACAGTCAATCTGAATATAATAAAAGACTTTTTTTTACAACACATAAATTACCTTGAAAACGTTTTCATTCTGGCCTCTACTGCTCTGTGACGGAGACACATTCTGGTTAACGCAGTTCCAATTTCCTTAGTAGCGCCTGAAAAAAGTACATAAAATGTAAAACCTACCGTATATTAAGGTTACCGTATAGACAAACACAGGATATTGAGTTTAAAACGATTACATAATATTTTCTTATAAAATAAGAACGCTAAAAAAATATTTAAAAGAGAATTTTGTGTCAAAGATATTAATAACATAAAACACCAAAAGGTAATAGTTTTTATAAAAACATTTACATTTTCCTCGTTAATTTAGAATTACAACATATAACCCTACAGAAGGATATTCCATAAAGAAACAGTCGGTTTTTGAAATAAGTTATCGTATTATGTAAAACTCACGGAAATTGGAAGAAAATGTAATGTTAAACATATGTTTTATCAACTTATTTAGTTTTTCATAGTTCAAATTGATAGCCAAACCATCATTACATAATTGTAAATTTAATATAGGAGATGAATATAACACTTATACAGAATTATTGTACAGCTATTAATATGCTACGATTAATATAAATTATACAACGAATCCTCAGTAGTCAAAGATATAGTAGCGGAAAAAATGACATATTTTCAGCAACATTTCGATAAAGAGGAAACCATTAAGAATATTTAAATTGTGAGCTACACGTGCATAAAATATTTAAACTAAGTTTAAAGATTAGTAAATACATACAAATTTCCCCAAAGATAGAATAATGTTTAAATACATTTTTTCAAATGAGTTTTAAAAGTAAATGTCTTATTTTTTATTTGTACAAAAGATATTTAAAATAAAATAATAGAATATATCATATTATATAGCTAATATACGTATTTAATGTTAGTTAATTTGATACCAGATAATGAAAAATTAAATTTGAATGGATTTGATTATACTTTTATTATTATTCTTCTCCTTCGTGGTTTTCGGCTTTCAAGACCATACCGTCCAGCATATTTGTCTCCAGTTATCCTTTTCTAACGATATTTTCTTTCAATCCTCTCCTGGCTTTACTTTTTCCACGTTCTCTTTTACGCTGTTGTCCCATCTTAATCTTGGGCGTCCTAGAGGTCTTTTCCCTTGTGGAGGATTTTCTAGCACTGTTCTCAACATCGATCCTTCCTTACACCATGCGTGTCCTGCCCAGATGAGTCGCCTCTTGGTAATGTCTTCCACAATACTCGGACTCTCATACAATTATTTTAGTTCCCCATTTTTCTGGATTCTCCATTCTCCAGTATTTACATCTTTACATGGACTGTATATTTTTCTGAGTACTTGAATGAAAAGAAATGATATAATGAACCAAATAAAAATTATAACTAGATTCATTTTATACTACATGATACATTTTGCCACGTTTTTTAAAATAAAAACTGTTCCACTATAATTAACAGCTTAATGCGGATGTTGATAATTTAAAAAACGACAATCGGTTGCAAACGAACAAAATAATATAAATAACATTAAATTTCTATATATTATTATGAAACAACACAAATGAAGAGTTATAAATACACTGGGCCTCTATTATAGTTGATTTTTAAATATCAGGTGCTGAAGTTACGATATTCTCCTCGGATACACATATTATAAGAGGGTGGGGATATTTACTATACTGTTTTATGTTATTTATATATTTATTCTAAATGAGCACATCGTGCACTTGCATAATTATTTTGAGGGTTGTGTGGCCAGTCTGTAGTAGGGTGTTCCAGGTCGTAAAATCCATCGGGAGGGTTTCAATCCCCCGGAAAGAATTCTGACAGCCCTCTAACCGAGGGTGACTGTACACGGTTCTAAAATCACCGAATATCCCAAAAGTTCAATGTATAAAAACATGGGTACAAAATAAAAATAATAAAAAAACGTTGTGTTGGTTGTCTGTAATTATTCTGTAGCAAACATGTAACAATCATTCGAATGGAAATCCTTAGTTGACACAATAGAACCGACTGGACAGCTGACCATTAGTATGCATTGTTGATGATTTGCTCTAATGGTCTGATTAGTTTGTGAATCGTGACTTTATTATGTTCAATATATATTATAAATGCTGATGGAACGTCGAAATCATTAATTTTTTTCATTTTCAGAATCATTTCGCACATTTCGTAGGCAGTATGAAATTTTATGAAATGTACAGTTCTTTAATACCATACAATTTTATATTGTCAAGACAATTTCATCAACGGTTAGCAAATAATAGCATCTACTCCTTGGGCGGTTTAATACGATTATCAAGTTAGCCGGGAGGGAAGAAAAGCAACGGTCTTTCGACCTTAGCAGATACATTCTATTGTCACGAAATACTTTCATAATAATAATAATAATAATTCAATATTAGTAATAATAAATAAATCGAATCATTAAATATTCTCTGAGCCGTCTTTGGATGTTTGCCCACTGTTCAAAATAACACCTGAAGCTACTATGCTATTTCGACATTTTCACTACTTGCACCATTTAAGCAAATTTCAATATATAAACACAAAAAAAGGTTTTTATATTTTGGGTACCCAAACAACAAATCTAAACGTATTTTGAAACCATTAAAATTTGATTTCAAAAGGCAAATCTTGTAATTAATAATAAAAAATGTAATCCCTTTAGCTATTGTGAGATAAACGCGATACCTTTAATACCTATCCAACATAATTAAAAAAACATAAAAGAGTAAAATTAAAATACAAAAATATATATATTAAAATACCTAATAACGTATCAATACTTAACTAAAAAATTACAATTTGGTCACTAATGAATAGAGCTTACATAATAAGATATTTATGAAGAAAAAGAATATATCATAAAAAATAATTTCAACAGAAATTAACGTAGAATGATTATACGATTCAGCACAAATTACCAACATTACATTGCGTATACATATTTAAATTACTTATACTGTATGAATATTTTATAGATAAAGAATGAAGGTTAAAATTTACGCAACTGGTAACCTAATGTATGATTAAAACGAACATCGAGATACACATTTAGCCCACTTACCTACGGTTATTTTCTTTTGACTACAAAAAAAACTAGACGAAATGCAATAATTGAAAGCAATTAAAATAATTTGTATAGGACTTTAAACTCATTAATTATTGAAACCAGCTAACGAAAAGAAGAAGACCTTTAAGAATTGTCGATATAATGAAGACACATTTTACAAAGATAGCACATTGTAAATATTTAAAAAATACATTTTCACCATATTATAAACAAAGCACTATAATAAACTATTTTAATACCATTGTTTAATTAATATTAGTATCTATTGTTATACAATAAATAATACTTAAAAACATAAGTCATAAAAATGTACAATGTACATACATTTTGCTTGAATAACATATTTAAAATTGTTTTACTATTACAAGTAATGTTTATGGCATTGCAAAACAAAAAAATTATAACTATTTTAAAAATGTCTACTTCTATTTCTTGTTATTAATGACATACATTGATTTATTGGTAGATTTTTTTTCTGGCAAAGGTCAAATGTTAGTTAGTGATCATTTATTATTTTGGGTTACACATTTTTGTGGCTTCCAATAATAAGGAGCAATTTCGGCGTCCAACGCATTTTATACAATAAGTTATACATATTTGGTTATTCATTAGTATATTGGTAGCTGTTTTTTTTTTTTGCACTGGGCTTGATTTACGCTAGGGGGTATTTGTTAGGTATTTTAAAACTGTAGTTCTTAAACTTAAATCATAATATATTTGATTATAATTGCACATTTGATATGGATTATGCGTGTACCCGTAGGTGTTAATTTTCTTTTAATAGTTTATAGAGTTACTGCATTTTAAATTACATTTTTAGTATTTTACTCTACAAAAATATATGGAAAAAATCATACATTTTATGTGTTACACACTTTTAATGAAAAAAGTGAAGTTAATTCTTCAATTGCGTGTAAAGCTAAAGTTTGCCCTATCTACACTGGTTGACCAATGTTTAAACACCGTTTAGGTATGTTGGAATTTATCGATTCTTTTAATTTGACTAGTCTGAATATAATAACATAAAAGCTGCAACACTGAAATAATAATGTATAAACATCATATACCTACATTATTGTGTATGTATATTATATACATTTATATTTGCATTGTAATCATTAAGCGTTACATTTATTTTGGTTATTTTATATTTTTCTACTTTAGAAATCATCAGAGAACAAGGAAAGGATAATACTAACAATAGGTGTACATACACCTAGCTTTTTCTAAGGGAAGCGATACTACTGCTTACCAAAAAAAACATTTACAGTTTTTGTTATATAAATTTAATTATTTGGACATGGATAAACATATCTACCTCATATGCATTTATTATACAAAAACACGCAGTTATAATACAATTTTGATTTTATAAAAATACTATATTTAGTTCGAATACTCACGAATATTAACTAGTTTACACAGAGTTCAAAAATTTCAATTTAATGCAGTAAATATAACACACCACACAAGTTTGGTCAATTTGTAGGTAATTTTCTATTAAAACGCTATAAATCATAAAAATACTTATAAGCCTGAGTACTAAAAAGATGTGGGTATTCAATAACGGTTAACGATGTCGAACAAATGTTTTGTTTTGAATTTACTCTTCTTCACTTCATTCATAGGCTATACCTACGCATACCGTAAATCCCATAGATCCTATTTCATTTCGACGTGTTTATTAGTTTCAAATCAAAGTACATCATAATAGAAAACAATCTAACTCTAAACATAACGTCTTTGTATATTAATTCAATTAAATTTAATCTAATTAAGTGCAAAATATTTTAACACACATTAGTGTAAAAAGGATCTGCATAGGTAAAATACTAGTCAATATAAAATCACAACTATCTCATATATGTAATATGTTTACCGTTTATCGAATCAACATGATGTACTAATTAAAATATTGGTACGTTGGTACAAAATATGTTATTATGTTATTAAATTTATACATAAACGCCTTTATACATATTGGTACACATAATACTAGTTATTTTATGTGTACTAAACGTTTCTGAATAGCAAGAAGATATGGGTAGCAGCGAGTTAGAAGAATATAACCGCAAATTATTTTTATATTATATCCTTTTAAATTTAACCACAAGTACTTCAGTTCTCGCAACAGGAAAAGTAGACCTACAAATACATGTAACGTTTTATGAGAAGCGTGTTACTACACAGTGACGTAAGTCGAATTAATACAATGTTTTGTAACGGCTAATTGAATGAATGATAAGTACATTAAGTAAGCTGACATAATATGTTCTACCAAGACTTTACCTGGACGTTATTTTTTTAAACTAACCATTAGAATAAAACATTTTTTCTTATTAAATTTAAAGGAAACCAACAGTTACCTTAATAAATATTCATTATTTAGTACAAAGTTGCAATATAGTAATGAAATTGTAATAATCAGCATGCCTGTTAAGATAACTTAAGTAAGTTCTATTAAGACAATACGCACGATTATTCCAAGGACACACGCAATTAATACAAAACCTCCATTATTTTTCAACAATACATATAAATATTTTTTAAAAATGTTTTATAAATTGGTTATATAAGTTTTTAACGGTATGTTGTTTAAAATATTTACATGGTTTTCAGTTTCACTGAAATAATGCAATAATCATAGAGATCAAAGTAAAAACTATATTAAAAACTAATTTTAAATTTATTAATACATTTTTTTTAAACCAATAAAGAAGTAATTACCTCTAGCATTAGTAGCAGCATCGGCGATTTTTTGAAAAGCATCTAGATAAGCTCCAATGGCGTGAATAGTTGCCCTGTAAAAATAATAAGAACTTAGTGTATTGAGATCACAAATTTTCAAATAAAAATTTTTTTTTTTTTTATTTATTATATTTTAATTGTTTCAACATAATCTTGTTTTTACAATATATTAATTAATAATTAAAAAAAAAAATAATAATAAAAAAAATAAAATAAAATAAACTTAGGTAACAACATAATATGAAACTGCTTGTGTGAAATAAGGCCATTGTGCATTCAATAAAATAAAATATTTAATGTGCAAATTAACTGCAATTTAATACATATTATTTTAATTTTAGGTATAAATATCTGCTTACACTAGTTTAACTAAAACCCAGCAAAGAAGACGTTTTCTTATGTTGGTGAATTACTAACATTATGTTTTAATATTTTTTAAAAAGTTATAAATATTTTTACCAAATAAAGAACTATGTTTCATTATTCCGTCATATTTTAAAATGATACTAGATATTTAATATTATTATTTAAAAACACACTTAACAAAAAAAAAATGTTTATCCATTTAGGTGGGATACTTACACCTATATATTATCATCTAAATAATATGTGTTAAAAGTTAATACTACTCGATAGTCCATACATATCAACTATGATTGATAGTTATATATTTTACAACAGTTTATATATAAATCATAACTTATAATAAATCAACTCTATAAAAAAAAAATTAAAAACACGTATATTGTAATTTAAAAATAGCTAAACGTAGGGTTTTCTAACGACCATTAACAAGGTAAAATAAGTTATTTTCAAACGAAAAAACCAAAAGAACAAAATAGAAAAGATTTTAAAGCTGCTAGGTGATGTTGTGAAAATTGTTTTTATCAAGTTAGATACCTTTTAGATAAGTAACCCAATTATTTAGTTAAAGTAGAATTTCAATTTTAAGACCTTTTCCAAAATTGGAAACATTTTTAATAATACATGTTTCCATAGGAAGTGCGAACAAAATTCAAGAGGAAGTTTTTGTTGTTGAGCTTCTTTAAATAGGCTACTAGCGATTATATCTCAATAGGCAAGTAGATAATGAAATATTTAGATTTCTATCTCCACGAGGTAGTTGCAAAGAGGATAAGCACGTCCCATGCTTATAGTACCTACCACTGTATATCAGTAATATACATTGACTACTGAGTGTAGTTGCCAAACTTTATCTTGTTGCAGCAGAATATTTAAGCTAACGTGTCTACATTATAGATACATTTTTTATAGTTCATCTATTTTTCATTTATGTGATAATTTGTCAATGTTATACTATTTATGTTATTAAAACATGCTTTTTTTCTATAAATGGGAGATTAAGAGTCGTTAGTTCGTTATTTAATGTTGATGTAGCTTATAAAGTAAAATGCTGTTTAAAAATACAATAAAACCCATTTAGTAAAAAATGTTTTTCACCAACGAGCATTTATCGATATTATACTTCAAACCTACAATAATTTGATAGTATCTTTATGAATATTTATTCAATTTTAATTTAATAGTTAAAACAAAATCAGTTCCTTACCTATCCTAAGATTTATCGGAAAGGATAGTTGAATGCAATAGTAGGTAGTAGCATTTCTTTACAATTTAAAGCATAATAATAAATGAATACAATTTCAATATTAAATTAAAATAATATTAATCCTTACCGAAGACACGTGTGAAGTTTTGTCGCTTTGGTCATAAAATCTTCCCAAACTGGTGTTCCATTCTAAAAATAAATACAAAATGAATTTTATTAACAAGTTATTCTATACAAATTATTTTCTAAATATTGTTCACTATCAGAACAAAATAAAACTAAAATTAAATATTTTTTAACTGTTTTTGTTTTAAAATACCTGGTTTATTAATTTCCGTACAAAGAATTGTTTGTAGTTAATTAATAAAACCAAAAACTATAGTGTACCTACACTTATTGATACAGGAATGAATATTTTACAATTATTTTTAAACTTTCATACCCATACCAATTATACTTAAAATAAACAAAAGTACTACTTTTTAAATAATAAACCTAGTTGAATGTTGTTTTAAACAACTGACAAAGTGAAACAGACAGCAGTTTTATGAAACGTGTTGAATCTCAATTTATAGAAAGAATTGAGATTAGTCAATTTACACAGTGTAGTTATAAAAATGAGATTTTAATTTTAGTGTAACATTATGTAATAATTATTTAGAAAGAAAGTTTGTTTTCTAAGGCACCAGTAAAGTTTAATGAATTTTCTATTATTTTCAAAATCTTGCTTTGCTATGTTAATTTTGTTACAAATCTGTTCCATGTCTTTTTGAATGAGAAAAAAAAATTTGATTTTAAGACTTTACATGCTAACAATTGTCTTATGTAACAAATTAAGTACTTGTATTATATTATCGGATTATAGTAAGTTTTGGTACTATGTCAAAACCCAGACAGAATCACTCATAATATTCTCGAAATCGACGATGACGCTCGACATACCGACGGAAAAACCGTATATTTTTTTAGTATTATTTTATTTAAAACTTATCATTAATAATTTATCTCTATGTAAATAAAAGTATACAAAATATTATAAGATCGTTTATTATTAATATGAAAAAAAGTAAGTGAATTTTATAGGCGCATTATTTTGAATTTTTAAGGCATTAATAAGGGATCGAGTTTCATAAACAACTCGATGAAAACACTAAATAATTTAACACTTAACCGAGTGTTAGCGTGTTGTGAATCTAATTTAGCGGTTATTTAATTAATTTTTTGTAGAACTAATGATATTATTCTTTTAAGTTATTTTTTCCCAAAATATTACGTAAAACATTGTCAAATACATAATGTATTTTGTACAACTAAGTAACAGTTTTTATGGTCAATATTTTTGCATACAACACAATATCTCTAATAATAGTAGATTTCGAATTCTACTCGTTTGTCTAAAATAATGGAATGCTTCACTATACAGTTCTTCGTTTTGCTAATGACCGTATATTTAACATTGGAACATTTGTCGAACAATTTTGGCGGTTTAACAATACAAATTCATAAACTTGGATTTCTAGCCAATATACCGTTTATAATATTAAGTATTTCAATAACGTTTTAACTTTTAACTACTTTTCACATTCATAAAAATACATTCTAATAATATACAACTATTTTAACATAACATAATAGATAATCCGTAATTTTTTTAGTTGTAAGTGAAGAGCATTATTATATTTTAACTTTTTATCATTTTTAATAGAAAAGTAGAAAATTTCGGAGAAACTAATACAGTATAATATTAGTAGTGGGTCAACAAGACAAATTCGTTTCAATACATAATCCTGACATTGAACACTATATGAATTCATAACAACTTTTCTTCTTTTTTTTTTTCATTGCTAATATATTACTAGATACCTTCCCAAGGTATTTTATTGACACATTAACCTGCTAAATTAAACCAGTTTAAATTCCTGTCTCTAAATTTCCGTTAATAAAACACAGAAATTCGACAACGTTCCATTTCTTTTTATTTGTACACAAGAAATGGACAAATATCTTATTGACCGCTAATGAATTAGTCAAAAACGGACACAATTTTAGTATATCAATGAAACGGAAAAAATTACCACCCATATCAATTTGTAATAATAAAACAACCTATTTTATGCAATAATACAAAAAATACAGGGGGATTCTTTTATCGTGGGCAACTCAATATCTTATAGGGTTTAATAAGAAATTATATTTTTATTCGAATGGTTTTTATACAATGTGATCTCAATTTTTCACAATTTTTTTTATTTTTACCCCTCCCAACGTGTGATAAAAGAATCACCCTGTATTATATTATTACATATAAGGTATACTTTTTGTCATGACACATGACCTACCTAAATATTGGTCGTTACTCCTTTATACTAAACGTTAAGCACCACGACAACGTTAAGTTGTCGTAATATTTTACCGAAAAAAAATATAAATAGTTTTAACTAAGTTCGTTTAACTATTTTCAAATGTAAGTAAAGCGTATTTAAAAAAAAAAAAAATACTGCACACTTTTTGGGGTGTTATCAAAATATCATTAGCAAATTCCACATAAATGGCGAAATGTGAACGGACATGAAAGGCTGTGGTCATACGGTGTAAACAGTCATTCAGGTGATAGTCGATTGTAATGACTGAGGCAACTAACTCTACCTATTACTGCTGCTGCAGACCACGACGGCTGCTAGAAAAACCGGTCCCGGACCATTTATGGTCGTTGTCCGTTGTTCGCACTGGCCTGTGGTCACCACACAGAGTTAAAACAGTTATCGATCCGAACATGAGATATACAAAACCAAAAGACAAGCGGCCAATTGATGATCTAATTCACAGCGTAGGGCATATTTACTCATAGGAGGAAGCCACGCCACCTGTTACTGTTAAGTAAAGTGTAGGCAAATTGTTCATAAAACTTGACATAAAAAACACATTTTTATACTATTTAGACGGCAAAAAAAATATCCTAATCGATAACTAAATGTTTTACACTTTTGTTCACAAATTGTTAGGCTATTTTTGTACAAAAATATGTCTCGGGAGATAAATTTCGACGGGAAACTGAACAATTATTATAAGTACATCTATCTATACAAAATTATAGATCGAGGTTTTTCTATCTAATTTTTGATATGCCTTTTTTTGATAGAGTAGGGACTTAGTTGTAAGACATTCAACTTTTCGATTAATTCATCGAAATTTAGGTTGAATACTAAAATTGCCCAGTTTCTTAAAAAACTTCATCTATCGATTAACATGTTTAACAAAAACAAAATGGTGCGGTGCACTCTTAATAACATGTTTACATGTTTAATATATTAGCTAAAATTAGTAGCACAGTTATCTAAATAACCGTAAACTATCATTATACATTTTCTATCAGAAAATGGGACAGCATTTTTAACTAAACCGGCAATAAATCATTATTGTTAGACATTGAACGGCTGTAAAATCGGTAATTCATTTAAACATTAAAAACAGTGATTTGTAATAATAACCCAACATGTCAATTCTTGTTATAACTTATTGATCGATTTAATGTATATAAATCGAGACTATTAAAATAACAGCATATTTAAAATGTAATAAAAACTACATAATTTTTGGATAAATCTTAACAGTACGCCTTAAATTTTAATATTACTCACTTCCAATCATAATTTTAAATTGTAAAAATAATAATTTGTATTTGCATACAATTTAAGATATGAAACACAATCAATTTTCAAATTGCTCATTTCAAAACTAGGAGTGCTAACTAAGTCCACATCTCCAAATAATGCCTACGATTATGATGTTTTGATCATAGTAGTTAACGTTTTAAATGTAAATTTACTTTTTTAGAAAATGTAAATGAGAACGAATAACTACAAAAAAAAAATGTATCAAATAGAAATGTTCAAAAAAATATCAACTTAACTAGAGTATCAGAGCAACTTCATACAAAAATGTACATTTTACTATTGAACTTGAATAATATTATCTAGACCTCTACCTTATAAGTCATTATTATTCCTGCCGATTAGGGGATCTGGGGGACCAGTTAGGCCTAACCAGAGGACTTCCACGGACCGCTGCTGCGTCCCGCAAGCCCCCATCGACTGCAGTCTTCTTCAGTGACACGCACAGTCCAAAGGTTCAAATATCATCTACACCTTTAAGTTAAAGAAAGAAGATGAGAGCGGTAATGTGCAGCACTCATTATTACCAGGTCAAAAATCAGCCTTCGTGAAAAGAAATAGTGTATTACCTTAAGAAACCTCTCTATGGGGAAGAGGCAGTGGTAGCTTTAAATGGACCATAAAAGCCATTAGGTAAGTAACCTATACCAACAAAATAATATAGGGTTCTCTAATTAATTGAATCTATTTTCATGATAAAAATGTAGGACTTCTTAAGCAACTATCTATATGTTGCCTGGCTTTAAATCTGCTGTTGCTCTCATGAATTGTAGTTGGTATCATAATAATTTAACAATATAAGAGTGTCCCGGTTTTATAGCGCTGTTTGTAATAAACTTTAAATTAGGTAAAATTGATATTCATTAGCTGCTGCTTTAAAATTAAATATTTTTCTTCTATTTTGCAATGTAACGTACATAGAGCAAACGGGTGTAAAGCATGTTGTGAGCCTGACTCGTCAGGAGAGGAAAATAGGTTTTTTTTTTATATTTGTTGATAAGTAATTGTATATTTTTTTAATAAACGGCATCGGAGGCGAGGAAGAAGTAATATCCATCGGATAGTTCCCTCCCGGGAATCTATTCTAAGATGCACATGCAGATGAAAAAAAAAAGTTACTAATTAGTTGACATCTTACCATTTACGCGCTAATATCTTATTTAATTACCTAATTATTTGGCACCTTTTTATATTTTTGGGCGTGTCTCTCCGAATTACCACAGACCAGGTAAACAGGTGTAAAACCTTTATACAAATATATATTTAAAGATATTCTTTCTAGTCATTTTAATATTTAAATCAATAACTTAATTCTTACTCAGCTTTGAGCTTTTTTTTTTAATAAATAATATTGTACGTTGCAATTTATGAGTTTAAAGGTAAGACCGGCCCTTTAGCTGTTTGGGCGGTTATATAAATTTATAAAGAGTCTCTTGGGATATTTTAGGGTAGCTTGCTGTCCCAGTTAGGGTCACTTAATTTAGCCCTAGAAGGCGGACAATCGTGGGTGTGATCCACTCACTGCACTGCACCGTAACAATATCTTCTTAAGCAAATTTTCAATTTCCCTATGCAAGTTCTAAAAAATCAAAGTTCTAAATAAAGAAAATCAAGTTCTAAATACTAAAATATATATTTTTTTATTTAAATAAAAAATTACCAGTTATTTTACTACCCATTGTACCCAGAGGTACACAAAGTTTATATCTTAAGAGTTTATTTTGAAAGGTGCACTATTTAAGGGGATGTTACACACCTGTAATTTATCCACAAAAAAAATATTGTGGGGACAAGTATGTAAGGGGGGTATTTACATTAACCATATAACATTTGTACACTAGATAGAGAAGAATTTTATCTATGCCGTAGCGTTTTTAGTTTTTTGATCGACACAATTAAAATTATTTATTTGTAAACATTAATTTTTTTCTTTTCAATTTGCTCATAAAAAAATATAAAGTGTAGATATCAAACCAATTAAAAGCGCTACAGCATAAATAAAGTTCTTTTCTATACATTTACATTAATCATCAACTGTCAATAATACCAGGCTCACATATTTGTCCCCTCCTTCCAAGAGCATTTTTGATAGAAAAAATTGTAATTTATTCTATAGATATTACTGAAAGTCTGACAAAATAAATGGCAGTCATTTAAGAATCCTCATTACTGTATAAATAACACTATAGTTTAAGCTTTAAATTGAGACTTTAGAAATGGACAGTATAGCTTCCTTTTAATCTTGCACATTTAATTTAATAAGACTGTAAAACACATTAAAATACTAATTTTGTTTTCGTTTGAAAAAATTGCTATGAATTCACAAAATTAAAAAAAAAATAGCCTAAAAGTTAATGCAAGTTTAACAGAAGTACATTTATTCTACATTTATTATTTTAATTAAATTAATGAAACCATTGATTAAAATTGAAATAAAATAAATATAGCCAATGACTATGTAACATAAACATCATAATTATAAATGTTTAGCTATTTAAATTTTTAATTAGTTAACATATTCAATATGCAAATAATAAAATTTTAAAAAAAATTAGAACTAAAATAAATAATAAACAAATTAAGAATTAAACATTTATTAACATTTCTACAATATTTGTCGGTTAATATTTTTGAAAATAATAAGAAATATAAATGTATAAAAATTTGATTGAATTAAATTAAATATAATCTGAAGCTATCAAGATTTAGCATAGAAACAATTAACTTTTTACCAATACTATTTGTACTATGTAGTTCACAAATTCTTGGATAAAATGTCATGTTAAATGAGGCACAATATAATTAGAAGTTCAGTATTTCAAATAATGAAATTGGGAATTATACTTCCTGATTTGGTAGGTTATTACGTAGTACGTATCTACATTGTACTGTGCCTAATTAGCTTTATATAACTTGGAAGTAAGTTCTATACTTCTATAGTATATATATATATATATATGTAGAAATATAGAACTTACTTCTAAGTTATTTAGTGCTAATTAGGCACAGTACAATATAGATAAGTAATAACCTACCAAATCGGGAATTACAATTCCCGATTTCATTATTTAAATCTAAAATAACTTATTGCACCTTTTAGAATCAACCATTACATTGAAAGTGTGAAACAATAATATGAGCCCATAGTAACTATTTAATGACAGCAGATTTGTTTGTAACAGAAGAATTAATATTCCAACATGAATCAATATTTTTGACCCCTCTACATTGTGAAAAAGTAGGCATAAAAAAAATTGGTACCCAAATGATAACACTGATAAAATTGTAATCTAAATATAGTACACCTATTAAATGTTTTACAATTATCGAATATAAAATACAACAAATACAATTGTAAAAAGTAAAAATAGTTAAGAAAGCATTAAAAGTCATGTATTTTATTTTAATCAAATAAAAACAATATTCTTGATACTACACTGTTGATAATTGTTTGAATATTAGTAGGTAGAAATTGGATTAAATATGTTTTCCTTTGCTTATTATGATTTATTTATTTGTGTCGAATCTAAATTATTTTTAACGACTAAACTATGAAAAAAAATAACGTACAGACAATTGGGTCAGATCTTTAAATAATATGTTATTGAATAAAATCCGTTTTCCCCCATTACTGGACAAACTAACACTACCTATTCGTTGCCAACTAACAACGATTTAGGCATTAACTTATCGGTCTAATGGTAGGTATTTTAACTTTAAAATTATTCTATATTTTGTTTATTTTACCTTAAGGTCCATGACGATTTGCTGGAACAAACCACCGAGGGCATTACAATCCTTACCGACCCCGTTGCCTTCCATGACACAAAAAACACTCGCTAAACTTATTCAAAACTGTTAATTGTCCATGAGCGAACTGCTCATCATTTCACTACAAAATCACTTCTACACTGGATGTAGTATTAAAATTTGGTCAAACGTTTGGGGTTGGGTAGTTTCTTAAAAATGAAAAAACAAAACAATAACCGTGAAGTTCACATAGGACGGCGCATTACCAGCGCAAACGACGACTACAGACGGAATCGACGTTCGACAGTGCCCGCGAGCCGTGGCCTGTGCTATGTGTAGACTGTAGCGTGTGTAAACACTAAACATAAAACAATATACATCAGCAAGGCGAACGGGGCCAAGCCGAATCGCACGCCATCTATTGATTTGAATTATAACCTTAATATATTATCTAAAACATCTTTTATTAAATTAACGGTAAATTTATAATCGTGGGTCATAATAAATTAAGTTATTGACTTGTTTAAAGCAAAATGAAACAATTGTAAGCTTATTATATTATTAATCGATGTACCGTGGTGGCCGTGGTTAATTTCAAAATTTGTATAACCAGGTAGGTTTGCGTCCATCTACAGCAGCTGTTCCTGGTGTCGGTTGATAATACGGTCTGATAAGCATTATCCATTACAGTTTGTGAAAAACCAAAACACGGCCAATAGTGATAAATGATAATGGGAGCAGTAAAAGCAAGCGGCCGTATTCATTATCAAAATTACTGTTGACAAAATTTGAATTTTTCCTCTGTACGGTTTCCGGATAAAAACCGTTTTACAAATTTCGTGTTGGTACCCTCCTCTTTACGTGCGGCCAAATAATCGCGTGAAACCCGTTTCAAGATAGAACCAAAGAAGGTCATTGTTATGTCTTCTAGGAATGTTAAATTCTGCAGACCGTGACCAATGGCGCTGTCAACGCGGTTGTGGATTTAAGAGAAAGTGATCACAACACAAAGTGGCCTTAGTTGAAGCAACCATGTCGTTTTTACGTGGCTCCACAAATTATGTATGGTGCACCACAAGTGTGCTCGGTAAGGGTGCAACCGGTGCCGTTTACCAAGGTGTTAACAAACATAATGGTGAACCAGTCGCTGTTAAAACTTTCAACCAACTCAGTCACATGCGGCCGCTGGATGTTCAAATGCGTGAGTTTGAGGTTCTCGAGAAGGTTAAACATGAAAATATTGTTAAACTGCTGGCCATCGAAGAAGAACATGAGAGCCGTGGAAAGGTAAAGTTGAGCTAAAGCATTCTTTCATAACAGAAATTATTTGAGTAGAAATTTATTTTAGGTTATTGTTATGGAATTGTGTACTGGCGGCAGTTTGTTCACGATACTGGACGATCCAGAAAATACATATGGTCTACAGGAAGATGAGTTCCTATTAGTTTTGGAACATCTAACGGCTGGCATGAAACACTTGCGAGACAATAATTTAGTGCATAGAGATCTCAAGCCTGGTAATATTATGAAGTTTATCAGTGATGATGGTAGACCCATTTATAAGTTAACAGACTTTGGAGCTGCTAGAGAACTACATGAAGACCAAGAATTTATGTCGCTTTACGGAACTGAAGAATATCTTCATCCACACATGTATAAAACATAAATTTAATTAATATAATGATATCAATAATAATATAATATATTTTTATTTTAGGTATGAACGAGCAGTATTAAGAAAACCGGTGGCTAAAACTTTTGGTGCTACTGTTGACCTATGGTCTATTGGTGTAACATTATATCATGTAGCAACGGGCAACTTACCATTTAGGCCATATGGTGGACGTCGAAACAAAGAAACAATGCATTATATAACTACTGAAAAAGCATCCGGTGTTATATCGGGTGTACAGACTTCTGAAAAAGGATCAATTACATGGGGCAAGGATTTACCTAAAAATTGTCAGTTAAGTGATGGTTGCAAAAAATTAATAACTCCAATACTTGCTGGTCTTTTAGAATTAGAATCTCAACGAATTTGGAGTTTTGAAAAGTTTTTTACTGAAGTTACTAAAACACTAGATAGAAGACTGTTGCATATTTTCCACACTAATCGCATTCAAAACATACGGGTATACTTACATCCTGATGAAACTTATGAGAGACTTCAAGCCCTTATACAAGAACAAACTGAGATATCACCTAGCAATCAAATATTGTTGTACAAATCTACATATTTATTATCAGAAGTTGGACCTGATTTGCCTGGTCGATCTTATAAGGAAACTGAATCTCATAAACCTATTTTATTATTTAGTAAAGAGAATAATAATGTTACCCTAGCGTCTGATGGCGACTTACCTAACTTCCCAAAATTCCCAGATATGTCACTACCCAAACTTACATCAGTAGATAGTGATGCAGGTCTTGCCAAGACTGCTTGTAGTGTTGGTCATGTATGCAAAAAACGCATAGAAAAATTGTCTCAAAATAGCCAATTAATTAGTAAAAGTGTACAGATTTTTACAAAAGTTGTGACTGACAAATTAAAATTGGTATTAAACAAAAGTGATAATTTACAACAAGTCTTTAAATGTACAAAATACTTAGTTGAAGTATCGATACGAAGTCATAAAAGTGTGAATAACATGATTGGAATTAAGAATGTTTCAACGGATTTAAAAGAAGAATTGGAAACGTTAAGTGACGAGTTAAACAATAGCTTAAGTTTAGCTATACAACAGTTATACCAGCGATATGTTAGAGAGAAGACACTAACGAGAGAGTGGCATGCAGCAACCCGAGCATTTAAGTGCCCAAGCAAAAATCGAGCACCAGCTAGAATTAAGACACTCGTTGAAAGATTACGAGATTCATGGCAGCATTTGTTAAGGGATCGTGCTACTCGTAGTTTGACCTATAACGATGAGCAATTTCATGTATTAGAAATAATAAAGGTAATAAAAAGTTTTAATATTAAAAAAATAATTACTAATAATATACAATTATGACGTGATATTTTATTAAGTTTAAGAATGGAATCATAATGTGAAATGTTTATGACAAAATATAATAACTATTAGCTTTGATTCAAAGCTGTGAAGATATCAGGTGTTCCTAAAACTTAATGAACTTATTTTTTTAATATTCCTGTAATCATAATAACATGTTTTTATTAACTTATAATATATATATATTAAAAAAAAAATTTATAAATTGAAATTCAATAGGAAAAATATATAAATAAAAATGTAGTTCTAAAAAACGTTAAAAACCCTTCACATAATCAAACCAAAAATATTAAATAGTATAATTTGCAAACTGTTATTTATCCTTAATTTATACACAATTAGCCTATGATAAACAATCCTTTAATACTTTAAACAATTTGGTCTTACAATTGAGACAAGAGCGTGTCTTGAATTACATTTTATAATGATTGATTATATATGTATTAGCTATCAAAGAACAATAGTAATTTAAACTAGAAGTTCAATCTAATTTAATTTTAAAAATATAATAAAACTACTATTTAAGTGAACATTTATTATGAAATTTAAGTGACATTATTAATATATATATTACCTAAACCACAAAGATTTATATCCACAATTATTAATTTTGGGATTATTTCGCTTTTTTAAAATGGCAATAAAAACTAATTCTATAACCCAAAAATTGCTCTTTTGAAAAAGTGACCTTTTAGCTTTTATATAATATATGTATATAAAAATTATAGTAATATTATAAACCCTTTATATAATAATAGATATAATAAACCTTATTTTTAGGTTACAGAAACGAGTCGACGTGCTCGAACTCTGTTAGAGACGGATGTTCTACCTATAGTTACTCAGTTAGCGGATTGCATGGCTGATTGGTACAAAATGGCTCAAACAGTGTTCTTACAAGCACAAATATTAGACAAGGATTTTGATGCATTCGAACATCGATTACAAGGATTCATAGAACGTGTCAACGATACAGATGCTTCGTTTCATGATGGTCTAGTAAATGTTGCCAAAGTAAAGTTTACATCCAGTGGCGCCAAGCATGCTGGCCGTATCAGTGCTCAAGATATACAGGCACTGAGGGCAAGTCTACGAGGTTTGCGTGATATCGATGACCTCGTATCAGATATAAAAACTAATAATGAAATGCTCAAACATCTAACTGAGCCCAATAAATTATGCGACTGATATTAAGAGTAATTAATGTTATTTTAAATACCAAAAAAAAAAAAAGAGTATACTTAGTACTTTTACTACAATATTCAGACTATTCAACGTTTACCAATTGTATTACTATTAATATCCATATTTATTTATTGAATTAAATGCTTAATATTTATAATTTATTCAAACAAAAATTGTCAATTTTAGCTTTGATGTGTTTTATAATATGTCTTTTAATTAAAAGTATTTCTTTATAAGCCCCGTCTAACGGGCTTCGGATGCACTTTGAGTTTGACTGGTTTACATAAATCGACTATACATGGTTGTGTAAGCGGTAAAACATGAGCTAGTCCTCCTTCGGCTTCAGTCAGATCAAACGCGAGGCTCAACTCTACAAAGCACGCTTCTGACCATTCGGTGCGATGAGATATAAGAGCATTAGTGTCAAGTGAGTAATATGATTCTGAAATAAAATAATACCTATTAAATACAATTTGTCACTAACATATGTGTGTGTATCAATATACTCATATACTATGGTTTTATGAGCTATGTAAGTACAATTATTATTAGTATAATATAAAATATCACTATACCATCACCGAGGTTGACCAAACGTAAATGGTTCTTTTGAGGCATAATTAAATGTGTCTGCTGGTCAGGGTATTTAATTTTCAAACGCAAAAATGACAAAGAATCTTCATGTAAGTTGTACAGTTCAGCATTTAATGGAATTGGCAATATTAGACCAGCAGATAACTTGTGAGTAGTATCTGGTCCACCTAGTGGCCTATTAATAATTACCTTGCACATTTTTATCTAGAAAAACAGATATTTCTTTATGTATGATTATTTACATCATTATCATGTAGTTCATCAGGCCAATACTGCCATCATGAGAATATTTACATAAAGTTAATTATATAATTTTCTTACATTTGTGTTTGGTTTCGGCGGTGGTGTGGGTTCAGAGTTTTGTAAAATAGGTAGTAACAATTTGGCCACAATACCCGGTTTTGATTCTTCCACCTGAGACAGTTCTTTGAATATAGTCGATGTGAACACCTCATGAGGCAGATCATTCTCGGAGATAAACCTAAATAATGTCAATATTTGTTATAGTTTAAAAAAAATGTATAGATCAAATAAAAGTTACTAAGTTTAAAGTAATTGAAATGGATTTCATGTACGTCCACTGCATTAACTCACTTAATTGTATCTTCTAATTGAGTTAAAAAATAATGGCATAATGCTCTAGCTGACTGATTTGTGGCTTTAACAATATAAACCAAGAGTAATGCGATCATTTTGAGTTTAAACTGTTTTATACTGGCTAGTTCTTGTACGCTTAAGCCAACAAATAAGTATTGCATCCTATAAAATTTACAAAATAATTGTAGAAGTCTATTTGTCTAATAGTCAAGTAATGTATTGATCTCACTTTAAAGCATTCTGTAACAATTGTGAAATATTTGTGCGCACATTATTTGCTTGATGTGTGGACACAGCATTTGAATAATATTTTTTATTATTGTCATTCAAAACAAAATTTAATAACAGCTGACTGTGAATATATAAAGCACTGAGTTCTGCTGTTCCCTTCACAGACTGATCTAGTTGTGTTACTCTTATGACATTGTGATAGAACGTTTCTAGTAGAGTGATTTTCACTTTAGTACTGCCTTTAACATCAGACACTTGTTTCACCAGAGTTTCGAGAAGTTTTAGTGATATGGACGGATCCGATTCTAAAGACCTGAATTCTGCAATACCAGTAAACAAACGGCCTCCCAACTGAAAGAATTTTGTCATAGTGATTAGTAATGAGAGATGGGCAAATTTGAAATAAGTGTTTAAGATACAAAATGGTATTTTCTAACAAATACATAAGTTAAAGCTGTTTTAAATTTTTTGTGTAAAAATAAATATAAATAATATAACCTCATCACTGTGTAAGGGGTAATACTGTTTTTTAAAAAACTATTGGTATTAAAAGATACCTTTAATAAAACGTTATCTATTAAGTTTTTTTAATTTTGTAATATGTTTTATTTGTTATTTATAAGTTATAACTATTAATTAAGTTGTAAAACCGTTTATAAATTTGACTTTGAATGTTATGAATTAATATGTTTAAACTATATTTATTTAAAACAAACTTTTCATAAACACTTTTTGTATTTAATATTTAGAATATACATTCTGTACTTAAATTTTGATAGCGTTGCCTAAATATTTTGCACTATATATTTTAAATAGTTGACCCTTAACTCATAAATACTACACTTACTTGTAGAGATGGAACTAATTGTGGCATTATATCTCTTAAGTAGCTGTAGTGTTTAATAGTTTTATCTTCAAGTAATGAAATTATCGAGTTGCATTTAGATGCAGCATTAAAAACCAAAATCAATACACTTACATCTGTATTATATGTTAAAAAAGAATTGTACTTAGTATGAATGTTGTGATTGGATATAACATCTTGAAACATTATATATAATGTTAAATGTATCAATTATATGATACAATTTTTTCATATGATAATTAATTACAAGTAACTACCAGTGGTGTAGTGATAAGGGTATAAGTTATGTGTACCTATCTCCTACTTTTCTGAGTATACATACTCATAAGAAAAACTGTGTATCTTTGAATAGTTAAGATGATTTTTGTTATGAGTTACATACATAGAAAAGTGAGACACATAGCATAATATACCCTACGGCTAACCACTGTGTAACTCAATTTAAACGAATATTTGTTTTTAACTAAAGGATACAAGATGGTTCTTCTACATAAGGTTCAGGTGTTTCAAACATTGGATGTATGGCTAATAGTTCGGGTACTAGTGCAAGTGTTAATATTGGATGCCTTAATCCTAAATTTCGCATACAATTCCATATAGATTTCTTGTCCTGAAAGTTAAAAAAATTAAATTTTACTGAAAAGAACACCCAAGTAGCTTAGACAAAGTTACCTCAGGATATTTTTTTAAACTTTCAATTAGTCTGTTGACGCACATAAGTAGACCTTCTTGATTCAACAATTCAAATGATGCAAATATGTTATGTAAACCTTCACGAACCACGCTCGACGAATCCTTTAAGGTAAAAATATTAGTTAAAGTAAATAATAAGCACATGCATAAAATAAATATGTATTGAACAATACATTATACATTATACATTAGTATAATTATTTTGCAGTTATACAAAATATACAAAATCTCCATTTTTGGATTGTTTCAAGTATTAGGTATCAAATTACAAATTAAAGGTTATACATTTTCCAACCATAACAAAACTAAATAAAAAAATGTATTAACTCTTAAGCCGGGTGTCCAATAGGTCGGTGGTAGGAGAGAATGGCTTGGTGTATTCCCCAATAAAAACGTATGTAACTATTAAATAAAGACACATAATTTACAAAGACGGTGTGGAGCAGCATGACACACTGGTGCTTTCCATAAATTTGAACCTATATAGAGAGCGGCACTGCGCGTGCCACTCCACCCTGCCACGATCTAGAGGATGATCAGATTTAAAATCCAAAGAAATTAAAGGTTTAATATTATGAATTAATACTACTAACTATAATAAAAAATAGTTTTATTCACATTTTTTTCAAAATAGACAATATTGGAGTTATCATATAATTTTGCATGACAACAGAATTTAAAACATACCTCGATCACAGCAAGTATAATTTCTACTTGATCATCACGTAAACCAGAAGCATAAGAAAGTTTTACAAGGCTCTCTATAGCAATTAAACGAACTTCTTCAATTTCATCATTGAACATATCCACAAGAAATTCCATAGCCACGATAGCAAATTCTGAATGATTGGTAGCTAACGAACACATGGAACTTATAGTGGCAATGCGCACCTCTAAAAAACAAATGAACTAATACAACTAATGCCCAATGGTACCATGATCTATTAATCAGGTATATTAGCTGTGCTTATTTTTAGAAGTCCTCCTACTGGAAGGATTCTTCAATCTAATCATTACAGAAAAATGATAACTATTCACAGAACGTAACATTGTAAATATAATTTTAAAAAGTATTACTACAATAATAATTAGTACTTAAAATGTATAACATATTTATTACCAAGAAATTCATCTTCTAGCCCGTGGAGAAAAGCACCACTTGCACCCGTGCTGACCAAACTTATTTGCTGGGCATCTAACATTTCTTGTGGAGCATCTTTAGTACTCAATGCGCTCATCATTGCTGTACCTTTAGCTAAGCATTCCCAAACACGTTCAATAGATGTTCTTTTTCTCTGTAACAATTTAACACATAATTAAAAAATAATAAGTAACTATCAAAATGACATAATTGAAAACTTACTCGTAAATTAGACATAAGAGTTTGATCCAGAGTCTTTAGTAAAATAGGAGTACTGACCGAACCAAAAGTTCCTAAAAGTCTTGCTGCTTGAGTACGAATTCTATAGCTAATATCCGTCATAAAGTTACATATATTTTCAAATGCTTCATCAGACATACGAGCCATTTCTTCACCATTGGTACCCTTTATTCTTCTAGTTAAATTAAAAAAAAATTAACTCAATAAATTAATAATATTAATAAATAATTATATTAAAACATTTTTGTCCTACTCGTCAGGATAGAATGAACCCAAAACCGCTATGACATTTAAAGCAGCTTCTCTAACCATTTCATTATCATCATTTATGACCGAACAAACTTCATGATATACTGTCGGATCCAACCTTATACCACGATCGTGTAATCGAACCTAAAATATCAAACGAAAAAAAATTTACCTTACTGTGCTGGGTGCAGTGGCATTTTTTCTATAAAAAAATCATGCTTGAGGAAAAAAGTGATAAGACCTCACAGAGTTATTGAATTTTGCTGGTTATTTTTTTGTTTGAAAGAAGAGATATCTTACAGTCCAGTTAGGGTTTCGATTTTCTAAATTGTAATAAGAGTTTGAAAATGACTATTTTTTAAATCGGCTTTTATTTTTTTTGGTAATATAATAAAAAATTCAATAAATAGAAAAACAAAATGATCAAAATATGAATATGATATGATCTTTCCCATAATAATTATTTTTTTCACTACCACTTTTTCTTACCATAGTATTGAATGCAGTACTTCTTGTCTTTGCATTATAATGCTGCGTGTAGCTTCCAATTAATGACAGCATTTCGGAATGAATATTTAATGATCCTTCTGGAATTTCAACAGGCATTAATTCACCAATTACTCCTAAACTTCCACAAGTTATATTTGGTCTATAGTCGCCCAAAATCTAAAAAAGAAATATTATTTAGTTATGAAAACATAATTCCGAATCAAATACAATAAACATACTTTTTTAGCATAGTTGGTTAACTTTAAATGTAGTGTAATGTCATGATTCATTCGTTTTCCAAGTGTTAATAATGTTTTTAAGCCACTAGTTTTAATTTTCTGAGACTTCACATTATGCATTAATCTCATTATTTCTTCAATTATTTTATAAACACTCTAAAAGAACAAAAATTGTACCGTTAATAAATGACATGTAATAAAATAATGTATTTTATACACATTTACCTCTTCATTAGTCTCGTCAGATGAACCAACAGCCGAAAACACTGAACAAATTAACATTCTGACTGTAGAGTCAGTTTGTAATTTAAAATGTTCACTAAGTCTGTCTATTATACTGGTGACATCAGCATTCTAGAAATTAAACATTTTTTTACATTAATATCTTTTTAAATATTAAATATATGTAAACTAATTAGTTAACAAATAATAATGCAGTACATTTAATTTTATTTATTTATTATGAATCGTTTCTCACTTGAAATTGAAGGTTTTCCAATATTTGTAACAAAATCTGTATAATTTCATTAGACGTTTTTCGAGCAGTAATAGTATTCACTAATGATAAAGTTGCACCAGTCGGCAATGAAGTAAGTTTAACCAAACATTTCAACTTTTTAACTGGAGGTTGTTGTTCAATCTACCTCAAAAAAATAGACAAAAAGTAAATAATAGACAAAGCTCCTCAAAATGTACGAGTAACTATATACCACTTGTGTGCTGTATTCAGCTAACGCTCTTTTCTTTAAAACCGCTGCCATTATGACTTCAATTTGATAGCTATATTATATTAAACATATCTTATATAAATTGAACATCAGACATGTACCAACATTAAAACTAGACTATGTTAGTAACATATGTGCCTTAATTAACAAAGTAATATATGGGCCGAAAATCGTCAAAATATGCTCACATTATGAATACAGAATTCTCAACTAAGAATTCAGAAATTTAAGAATTGATTTAGTAAGTTATTAACCAAAACATAACAATTGATACAAATCAGTAATTACACAATATCATTAACAAATAATACACAATATTATTTTGTTTTCTTGTAGTTATTACAAGTTACAATTTACATTATACAGATTACAGTTTACAAGCCAGTTATTAGTTAACATTGGAATATTGATAACGTGTTATCAGTAAACTTCGAAACTAGGTTATTAATTGCTTACCACGTTAGTGGAAACCACTTTTAAAATTAAAATATTGATTTTTCACATTCTTCAACAAAATTTCTTACTTGATATACCATTTATTGGTTCAAAACAGTTAATTTTCGTTACTCAACATCTCATAAAAATTAAAATTTGTACAACGAAAATTCAAATTAACTTGGAATATCTTTGCTTATGAAAAAAAGTAAATTCAAAATGGCGAATGTTGATATTTAGGTAATCTGTATATGTATGTGTGTGTGTGTGTATGTGTGCGTTTAAGTGTAGAGTATGCCCCTCTCTCTTCTAGATCTATTGGTTCTCTATCTTATTTGTAAATAAATCATTAATAAATTTAAAGAATTACCTCAAAACTTATCGGAAAGCGACCTTGCTACTTTCAATATTTATCTGGAATACTATTCACCGTGTGGACGGTATGCATCCGTAGTGTCGTGTATTTGTTTTGTGGGCTTATAAATGACAACAATAACGCACTCGTTGCCTGGTAAGAATTATATACGTACTTACTTATTGGTTATCACAAGTCTCTGTTGAATTCTTACCTGGTTAAATTTTCACTTAAAGGTGTTTTCTTTCTACATTGTCTTCATTATTTATAATGCCTTACGCAAATCCCTATATTTTTTATATCAATTACCATAATACATTGTGGTTAAATAACTTTTGTTCAAGTAGACATCAATTGGATTAACAGTTCTCCGGATATTTTGATTTTGAACAATCACTGCACTTCCAAATCAAAGAAAATTATATAATGTCTGCTGTAATTGTGTTACAGGTACAGACTTAAACAAAGTCATCCAAAAACGAAGAGCTGGCTCTATAGGGTAAGAAATTTAAAATTAGTTATTTGGTTTTATACATTATTTATAACTATATTTTGCTTTAAAATATTTTTTAAAACAATGATTGTAGAGTAGTTAAGCATACATAACTAATCTAATAACTACTCTATAAAATATGTGTTTAATTTGATATTGACATTTTAAACATACTGATTTTTAAAGAAGAGAAGACCAACAAATTTTATGGAACAAATGCACTTTACCAGACACCCTTGCAAACTTTTTTTACCATATTGTATTATTTTTTACGCGTATTACGAATCTGAAGTAAAAAATTGGCAGACTCCTCTAGTTTCAAAGATATAGTTACTTGAAATTTGCATATTTTTGCGTGTATAACAATATAATGCTGTCGCAGCTGCCTGCCGCCGTACTATACATTTTTTGCCAACGCGAGTGCGACAGTATTATTAGTTAATTATTTATTTTTATTATTACCATTATTAAATATTATATTATTATAAATATTTAATATCAATATTGTATTAAACAACAATATCATTTTCTTAAATTGTAAAGCTTAAAGGTAGTATATCTATAACTGATAAATCAACTCCCTACGCCTACCGGCTTCAGCAGCCGACTTGAGCCCCTTTCGGGACTCTTCGTGGATGAGGACTCACGTCCTCAAACCCCCAGATAAAAAAATAGCTTGCCTTAAAGATTAAACTGACCTAACCTACCGCTCAAGAAGCGTCAGCGACCTAACGAGACAGAACCTAACCTATCCTCGCGTCGCAGACAAAGGTATAGTGTGGTGGAAGGTGGATGTGACTATCGCCGCCGCCTATTGCTATACATGAAATATGCAAATTTAAAGTAGCTATAACTTTAAAACTAAAGGAGTCAGTCAATTTTTGAGTTCATATTAGTAATCAGCGTAAATAATACTACAAGATAGTAAAAAAAAAATATTTAAAAAAAAGGGTGCCCAGTAAAGTGCGTTTATGCCAATTTTACTTGCAAGAAATCATAATTAAATATTTATACTTGCATTGAATTCATTTTTATATTTACCAGAATAAATGTTTAGTTAAGATAAAGAGAACCACAAATTCACTATACCTATTTTGTATTGTCATTGTTTATTACAGGGTAATTTTGTCTATATTTATAGCATCTTAACTATTACTTATCTAATCTACTTTTTGGGAAAAGCATCTTACTTTTATGTCTAAATGTAGTAGAACGTTCGTTTTAGATTATATGTTTATATACAGATGTACTCTATTATTTTGAACTTTATTAATGCTATTTAAACACATTTCAATTTGTTTAGAACTTTAAAAAAAAATGTAAGTACAGTTTTTTAAGTTCTGTGATCGGATTAATTTTTTCTAATAAACTATTATTTACTATTTCAAAATATTAATCAAAATTTAAAAGGATTTATAATCTTTAAAGTATAATTATATATTGGGTCAATGGTGAGGTAAAAAATATGAAGTAAATATGTGTACATGTATATCCCTAACACAAACCAGGTATTTCAGGTATTGACTCTAGGATAGATTGATATCATGAATGTGTATAATGTTTATCCTAATTCCAAAATTTAGGGATACAGTGATTTTTATTACAATCACAAATCCAAACGTACTACATAATTTCTTGATTTTGTAACCCCTAATTTGTAAATCCTATCAAATTGTATTATATCAACCCTCTCATCATATAACACTCATACACTAAATATAAAGATATAAGTTGAAATTTGATTTTTATGTGGTGAAACTCCATGGTTATAGTGCAAAAGAAAGTTGAATTAAATTTAGACATTTGATGTGTCCTATCATAATTAAGATTTTATGAAATCGTTGTAGCCAAGTTTGTTAAGTATTGTTTAGCACCTGCTGTCGCTAGTTTGACATTTAGTCTGGGTAAATAGTATATTTAGTCATGGGGCATAATACATCTTTCTAAAAAGTTCTTACCCATTAAATTTAAAAAATAAATGAACACCTCTATTGGTATTTGGTTTTACATTGAGAAACATAAATCTCAACTATCAAAAAATGTATATAAAAACAAATTTAAAAAAAAAACTAATGTAAAACCAAACCAATACCTTCTAAGCTTCACACCAAAGCTAAACTGGATTAAGAAAATATTATATAAAATAGACTTATTTTGGTTTTCAATGAACATTACATAGCTTTCTTATTGTACTTGTTGGATAACAAAACACCAGTGTATTGTTGTGTAGTTAGAAGTTAAATATTATATTTGTTTAGTAAACAAAAACATACTATGGTTTATTGTTTAAAATAACAAACTGTTGGTAGTCTTTACATTTTAAATTTAGGTACAGCTATTTGATTTTCATTGTGTGAGAAAAAATGTTTTATATTATTAAGATATAAAAAAAACAAAAAAGTACAGTTTTACATATATTTTTTTACAAAGATTAAGAGGATTTAAATATTGTATGAATTTTGTTTTTTGCGAGTTAAATGAACTTTGCAGATGGATTAAATTTTATCGAAAGAGATTTAAAAATTCCTGTAAACCTGTGACCACTGTAGATAGACTGGTTGCGTATCGAGCTATGAAAAAGCAGCTACAAAAGTTCTTTTTAAAAAAGTCGGTGACTGTTAGCGCTCCTCTTGGAAAAATCGTGGAACTTATTATTTTACACTGAGGATCCATGTTATATCAGCCGCGTGTATGATAACAACCAGGTTATCAGTGCTGATAAATCGGTTGTTATCACGATTATAAAGAACATGTTAAGCATCGTAGGCGATATCAGCGGTCAGGATTGTTGAACTGTTTTATGTTTTGTATCTAAAGCGTGCATAATTAATACTTGATATGAAACTACTATTCAATCACGTATAATATACATCAACGATGTTATTAACTATCATGATCTGTCGTAATAATTATAATGTTGTATATGATAATAATGCGTATATATATCATGTGTATTGACTACCAGCGCTCCGCGGTTTGAGGTACTACATAGACCTTAACATATTCTGACCGGCTGGTCGCGTACAAACCGTATTACCGACGGCTAACTTGTTCTTTTAAACCTTCGTTGTTATCGCGAGTAAATATAACATGGATCCTCGATGAAAAATAATAAGTTCCATGATTTTTCCACAAGGAGCGCTAACAGTCAGTGACTTTTTAGAAAGAACTCTTGTAGCCGCAGATAGAACATTGCGAGGTAAAGGCCGATGCGCAACCAGTCTATCTACAGCCGTGCCTGTGACCTCCCCAACCCCACTGTACTGTTTTTTATTTTTTTTTTTCAAATTTAACTGCGTGAAGAAGTAAACTTTTTCAACTTTTACCCCCCCCCCCCTTTCAAAGTCCCAACTAGATAAAATGTGTGATTTATAGAGTTACTGCTCGAAAGAATTGGTCCAGTATTAAAAAAGTTACAGTGTATACAGACACAAAAAAAAACCTACACCATAGTATAACCAACACCTTTTCCGCTTTGCATCGAAGCTAAAATGTTGGTTGTATTATAAATTTTTAAATTTTTAGATTCTCGATTTGTCATGTATTTTATTATATTTTGTAGATTTTGTTGGTTTTGTAACTGATTCATTTCGTCCGTTAACAGAAAAAGAACTAGCCGTTACCGTGTCTTAACTTCTGGTACATTTACATTTCTGGAATTGTTATTAATTTATTATGTAAAGTAAGGGTTAAGCCTCTGTTGTCGTGTAGGTATACGGTATATCTTCTTTTTTACTATGGTTGACAAATATCTGATGAACGTGATGCATAGTCCTTATGATAAGATCTATTCAGTTTTTTATAACTGTCAGACGAAATCCTTTTGATGTTTTAATAAATATAAAAGATGTTAACGTACAAAGCGCATGTCACCGGGTAAATAAATAAAGATACTTTAAAAAACACAATAAGACTGTAGATTTTACACTCGATTTCAAACAATGTTCAACAGCCTTAGTTTTTATAGTTCATTCCATAATTATTTATCTAATATTTATATAAAGTTATATTAAGTGACTTCTGTAAGATTATTTTTTCGGTAAATGATCGCGTGATTATTTTAAGTTTATTTCGAAATACAGGTAAAAGTAGTCTCTCATTATAATCAAAAAAATCGTTTGGGTTTATCATTTGCTCATTACTTAAAATATACAACTGTTTATCAAATTTCTCAACATTTATTAAATAACATGATCATTGTATTTGGTGATTTTACGGGTCGATGTATGCATGGTTGCCTTTAAAATATGGTGATAAATACTGAATTATTGATTTAATAACTAATTCTTAAACAGTTTAATTTAGAAGATTAAAATAGGTTTTCGCCTTGGAGTTCGGACTTCGACTATTATAGCTAGACCATTTTTTAGACTTAAGTAAATACTATTTTTTATTAAGAACCCTTAAACATTAGTTTTCATATTCTTTAGTTAATGTTGCGCAACGCACGTGTTTTTAGCTTTTGTTCTTTTAAACGATATTTAGGTCTCACAACAGTATAAATTGCAGTTAATTTATATTAAAAAAACGGTACTAAAAGGCTAGAGAGAGGAAGCTCATCCATGACACGGGATCTAGACGTTATGACGATGCGACAAAAATTGAGTGTCGTTTTACCAAACAAGGGGGAAACAATAATATCAGTTTTTGGTTGCACATTTTGTTGACTGACACTTTACCGGGCAATATATTATGTATGGATTTTTTTATACAAAATGATGTACGATAGCGGGACGGGAGAGAGGTTTCCGTGTGTACATAACAAAAATAAGAACCGATGGGAAAATGGACGGCGTGCGAGTGTAAACGTTTACTTCGTTTTCCTTTTCTTTAGAATTTATTTATTATAATTTTGATTTCTATTTAGGTTAGTTTTATTATACGCATATATTCTTACATCTAATACTATTCGATAACAATTAAAGTTTAAAATTAAATTGTATGATCTTTATTTTATAAGGCAATTATAAATTCATTTTTCAAATCAAAATACTAACAAATTCAAATTTTTTTTTTGAAAAACTTCAAAATTATACTATGAAGTTAGTGAATGACAAAATGAAATAAACCATCATTTATTTTGGCAATTTTTTTGAAAACATTTTATTTACTGATTTACTCCACGTGACTCTATACAACATTAAATATAGAAACTTTATCTATTTCTACAAAATCTACATTTTGAGATCGCGATTTTCGATTAAGTTATTAAAACCTGAGTTATAGAAAATTGTATGTTATGTTTGCCGACTGTGGGTATTTAAACAATTTGTGACATCTTATTATCCGATACATTTGGCGTTTTCCTTTTAGCCAATAATTAATACCAGGGTAGTTGTCCCGGACATGTGTCACTTTAAGGTGTATCTGTTCGGTATATTTACTAAATATTAATTCTTAATAACATGCAAAGACGTACAGTCTAATATTTCTATTTATTTTTTACTTTTCTGCGTATGACGTCTACTCTGTATCAGTATGCTATTCGTCATAATAACATTACGGAAATTTAAGATATTATGTTATATACACATGTATATGATAAACCCAACACAACACATTAGCCGCGCGCGCGAGCGGCGTTACTTAGCAATGCTGTTGGAATCTTGTTTTTTCTTTAAGCGTTTCCACGGCCGATCGAGTACGATGACGGTGACGTCGTCGTGAGCGGGGCGCTTCCCCCTCTCCGTTTTATACATATATATGTATTACATTGTATGTGTGTCTGCGTGTACCTGTGGCGGCCGCGGTGGCCGTCCGGACTACGGTTCAATTCAGTTCCCAGTGCTCAGGCGGCCGTCGCGTGTGTCGTTTCCGTATTCTGTTCCGGTCTTTGCGTCCACGTGTATGGTGTGAAAAATAGTGCGTGTCACTGCATATAGTTTTGCATTTATCTATAATAATATGATATAATAGATTAATTCGATTTTTGTTTTGGTGTTATCATTTGTGATAATCCGAAAGGTGATTTTTTGTGAGTTCTCCATCGGATGTTTTTTTTTTTAAATCTGGAGTTATTTTTGTTTTATATGGTGTCTCGCGTTATTTATGTCGTCCCGGAGACGGCGGCGTCCCGACGCGAAACCGTCGGAATGGCCCTCTGAACGGTTACCGACGACAGCGACGGCTACCTTTGCCGACGGATGTACGGATACGCGGGGCCGCCCCATTACGGGACCGTTGAGTCCACGGCCCACGGAGACCCAGCGGGCTATATTCAGCCCGTCGGACCCCATATACCCATGGCCATGGTCATGCCCATGCCGGCCGTCTGCGAACCACCTCCTACCCCTCAGATGTCCGCAGACGAAACAATTCAGAAGAGACGAAGGTACAGGACGTTTTATACAATTTTCTTTTTTTTTTGCAATACCTATCGAACTGATTCACCCAGAAATGGTGACCTAATCGCTATTGAAGTTGTGCCATCCATTAGAATATCAATATAGCGTCAATAGATTATATTAAAATATACTAGTGAATTATAATCTGTGTTCAATAGGTATCTGTCGTATTGATTATTTGATATTATCAAAATGTTTTATCTTGGCGGCAAATGTTATTTAAATTGGTTATAATTATAATAGCTGAGGTTCAATCGTGGAATACATACTTAATTCGTTTCTCTCGTATTCATCTACTCCCACCGCTGATTTAACTAGTGCATTGTGTTAAGCCTTCACACGCACAATATGCGCCAATCTGTAGGGAATCAGGTGTTTAATTGCATATCAACTGGCCGTATATGACACACAACATTCGCAATCATCCACATCGTAAAACTTATAAGCGTTTAACGCTCGTTTAAAACAAAAAATATATTTTCACTAGTTCTTTTGATACGTAACATTGGCGGTCGCACGTGACACGTCAGTTCGGGTGGCCGCTGTGGTCGCCTTGAGGTTTTGGCGTATGAAAAAACCGATCAGTTATTACACCCGTAATACTACTGATTTAAAGTTTAGTATGTTCTGGCATAACAGTTATGTTCTAACTCTGGGCACTAACAAAAATGACGGAATTTGAAAACGCAAGATTTCGCCGAATTTTTCATTTTTTCAAACAATTCTGCAATTTAACTGTACATCGGTTAGTGTATGACACAATTTGATACCCCGGAAGTAGGTACGGTAAAGTAAAGTACACACGATCCGATGAAAGTGTACAATCGAACATAACAAAATGTATACCATCGTTAAATCGCTTTGGTTAATCTCGTTTTTCGAGCAATAACAATTAACAAGTATTGCGATTTGGTTATTCACCGATAACCGAAGGCTTTTACAGAATCGGACTGCGACTGTAACACAATTCGTGATAAGCCCGTTGCAACGTTATTATTATTATTAATATATAAAAAATGATGTATATCATTGGTTGAAATATAAACTAATAAAACAGTGGCTCATACATATGTGATCCGTTTGATTTCATTCGTATACGACTGATAGGATTTCTTAATAAATATGTTTAATACTAAACAATAATGAAATAATTTCACTTCTAAAAATTATTTTCAATCACCCAGTACTAAGAATACAATAGGATAAAATAAAACATTTAAATATTTTATTTTTAATACTTAATCGCTATGATCAACTGTGTGACCTACAGCTAAACAATATCTATTATAAATCGATGGTATAGTGTACAGCATAGATTCAAGTTGAGAGAACTTGGATGTGCCTAACTTAGTTTAGGAGTTAGCTTCCTCAAAATTGTTTGGGTTACATACATTAAGTATGACATTCTATTATATTGTTGGCGTCAAGCGCCTACATTTTTTTTTAGCAAAATCGCGCGCCTGTTGTACAGTTCCCATGAGTGTATATTTTTAGGAAAATTATTAGGATGTTTGAGTAAATGTTTAGTAATTACCATTATAGAACCTAATAGCCTTGTATTAGAAGCCAAAGATTCATACTTTTGATATTAGAAAACATTGATGGTATTATAAAGTTGCAATTATCGTTACTATAAAGTTTTTCAATTATAAACTGTAAAAAAATAAACCCGTTTAAAATATTTTCTTAGCTTCGTGTACAAATAAGTACTACTACTTTTTGTAAATGTAAACCAAAAACGTATTCAGATTAGTACTATTTCACACTCTGCTAAAAATGAATAATGAGTGATTTTTACTTACTAATTGGTCGTACGTACGCTTTGTTCTCGTTTGTACGTTCAGCATAGTCGACAGAATGTGTGCTTTGATGCGTGTAATGGATTTAATCTGAATATGATCAGTGAGCGGTCTGTTAGAAAGAGTCCCGTTGAGCTATTAGTCTATGGGAAAATCATATTTTATCTTCATTTTAATCACAACGTTCTAATGTTTAAATAATTTTGTACTGTATGATAATAACTCATACTGTAATAATAAATCTAATCAGTCATAATAAGTAAAATTGTATTGTGTTTTTAAAATTGGATATTATTACTGAAGAAGCAAATACCTAATAGAATTTTGTTGTAGTTACTCAATTCTCAGAATAGTGATTTTTTTAATTTGATATACTTTATCCGACAAATTAGTTATCATGTTATATACATCTCTTAGCTAGTTTCATTGTAAATGTTTCAATATTGTACATATGTGTAAAGATTTGTATTTCCGAGGCTAACTACAGAAATGTAAAAACAATTATACGATTCTTTAACAAAAACCAATCACGTGGTTGTCTAAATATGTTGACCCTGATGGGTAAAAAAAACTAAAATGTACGAGTATAATTTTGACTTGTACGACAAAATTATTTGGACTAGTTTAAACTTTTGTAGTCGGATGTTTGTTTTTGAAAACGCTTCCATTTTTGAAGGTTTTTGACCTAATAATTAAATGTTTTAATGCTGACGTAGCAAATGCGTTTATTGTTTATTCATACTTCATGTGATACTGTTTAGTATGTATTTGTGAATATTTTAAATATTTACATTTTGATTAACATGTTTGAAAAATAATACAATTGTTCGCCTGAATTTCATACACTTCAATTTTTTGTTTATTTCTTATGACGTTCTAGTTATAATAGCTAAAACTTTTACCTATTATAACTACTCAATAAATAATTATTCTAACCTAATGTATTCTATATGAAATACCTAGCTCGAATTTATTTGAACTACAAAGAGTACCAGTTACCATGCGTTGTACCTGTGTATCTCTATCTGAATAGATACATTTTTTTATAAATTAATAATATGGTTAGTCAGGCTTCCATTTTAAAAATCTCGTGTACACTGAAAGCTGTTGCTGAAATACCAAAATACATTTGAAATGCGTTAAGTTTATGGTTGTTATTACTCTTCAATATTTATGTGATTAATGATTTTCATACCAATCGGCGGTGTGTTTGAAATGGAATAATAATGGTTGTATGGTTCCGTTGCTACACTGTATTTCCACTGCATCCGAAATGTTGTAAACCAGTATTTAAATCCAAAAACAATCATTATTCAGATTAATGATGCCGACGTGTAGAGCTTAATTAGTCTTTATCAAACACGTATTGAGTACATTACTAGCTTTATTTTGTGTATTTTATCGATCACATATACTAATTACTAATGTTATAGCCAAGAACACGTTTTATAGTGCTGCTGAAAAAATTATACAACTAAAGTATTCAAAAGTAAATCCAAAAATATATTAAGTGTACAGTAAAATATCACATCACTAATAAACGGGTTTAAACTTTAATATAGTGATTTATTAAAATTAAAATAGGCAAGTTAAAACACTTAGGTTTTTATACCTGTGATAAAAGTGTATAAATTATTATTCAACAGTAACAGTGAAACTTCTAACCCGCCGTAACTATAATATTGATTAGCAGTGCTGGCGTAGAACATTCAACCCTTTAGGCTTCTATGTAAATTATTTTTCGCCGCCATAGTTACAAATGAAGAACGAAGAACTGTATTATTATATAAAACACTATACCCAATTAAAAAAATGTATGTTAAAAATTGTTCTTTATGTAAAACAAAAACAAGATTTATAGTAATTAACGCATGTCGTTTACACATTTGTATAACTTATTGGGTTACTTAATATTAAGATCAACAAAGCTAGTCAATATATTAGGTAGGTACCTTTATTTTCAGAGTTATATTATAATATGTACCTATTATTAAAGCATTTAACTGTATGTACTTTTACATTGAAATTCTCCTTTTAGTACAAAAATGTAATGCCTATAACTAGCTAACACGTATGCCTAAATATAATAATTGATTAGTTTTTTTTTTTATTAAATTTTTGATTTAATAAAGAGGTTATGACAATCACATTTTGCCGTCTGCCCGCCTATTACCACTAGTTTTGAATTATGCTAAATTAGCAATTTTATGCGTGAATACTAATTATCGTTTATATTATTATGCAACTATTCGTTGTTTAGAAGTAAACCTAGATTATAAGTAGTTGCCTAAACACTAACATAAACTGAATCTTTTCATCATAGTACATCAACAATGAATGGAAGACCCTTACGATTTTTACAGTCGCAGTAAAAAATGTAGTCGTTAAAAAAACTAAAGAAAAGACGAAAATAATAAAGATCTATAACAACACTTTCATAATGGATACCTATTTTATTGAACGTTGAACCACAATAATTTACAAATGTTTTTAGATTGACGGTCCACATTTGACACGCCTTCGCGCGGTCTTAGGCCGTGGACGATGTCGGAGGAGAGAGGATAACGAACACAGTGCGCATTAGTTCCACGATACAGCCATTCACCACCTTACCTTACACCATGACAACTATGTCGGTACCATCCGCGTTCAAATTATATAATATGTAGTAGAATTTCCGTCCATAAATTTGTTGCGAAATAGTCACTTTTGGTAAAATGTATTTTGTGAAAATTCGTATGAATAGAAAGAGAAATAAAAAGGATTTGACCTTTTTTCTATACATCAAAGCCATCCCTCGGCATGTGGTCTTTGACCAGGTGTTATTTCAGCACAGGTGGTGTCCTCCTGCCCTCCTCGCAGACTATTCGGCTCCAGCATTTTTTTATCGTATTGACCTAAAGATAAAATCAATTGTGGCGTCAAACAGCGCTTAAGGTCACATTATTGCAAGGGACACAAATGTTTTGTTTGTAAAATAAAAATCTTCGAGGTGTTAGCGGATAACATTGTTTAATTTTGTAACATTATTACCATAATAATAACGACACCCATATTAAAAGATGTGTATGTATAGTGTATACTGATACCAATGATACGCGGATCTTTTTTCAGCCGACAGAATAAAATAATGTCGATCGTTGAATGTAATTTTATTATTGTATATTATTATACTCTATTATTATTTTACTTTGTAATATAATTGGTATCGTCTTCGCGTTACTAAAGAGAATGTGAGATCATTGAACTGTTTTTCATTGTTATTTTTGTTTGTGTAAGAATCCATATAAAAAAATAACAATGAAAATTGTCTTAACCTACAATTACAGTACGAAGAGAATGAAAAAAATGTTGGAATTATCATGTTTCAATTTTGATTATTTCCAATTTGAAAATATAATGTAAAACAATATTTTTATTAGTATACTCGTACATTAATAATTATGTTTTACATTTTTTTTTCTATGTAATAAATTATATTGAATGCCTGTAACCATCACATATAAAAACAATGTTTAAAAGTTTTTTAAAAAAAAAACACTTTTTCTGTTGTAATTTGTATGTTATAAATGTATGTTTTATCTTGGCAAGTAATAAAATATATTTTTGTTACTTTTAGATCCGATGAAGAGGATTCCAGCCAAAAATACTCTAGAATGGAAGATGATAACATTCAAGACAAAGAAAGGTTTGCAAGGTGAGTGTTTAGTAAAATCTTAAAATTAATATTTCGTTTAAATAGCATGAGTATCTAAAAATACCGTTATCTAAGTAGCTGAAAACAGAACTTGTTGCGTTGAATGTAGTTCATAGGGATAGGTTATTTAGTCTGTAATGTACATAGATCTAGTGTAATAAATAAAGATAAAATCTTAGGAAAGAGAGAAAGGGAGATGATGATATAATGATTAATAGAGTGATTATTTTATAAAATGTCTTATATATATATATATATATGTAAGGTTCGACAATTCAGGAAAACCATTAACCTATTAACTTTATTTTTGGTTTGGAACACGTGTGATGTTGCCTGTTGGGGTCATGGTATAGGCAGCCGCTAAGAGTCCTGGGTGGTCACCCATCCGATACTAAGCAGCAATGGACAACCTTAGGTGCCGAGTGACAACTAAGGTGACTACTGCGCCTATAAAGTGTGCTAATAATCATTTTTAATTTATTTTAAAATACTGTTAGCTGATTATAATAATTTAATAATGAATACTAAGAAGATAGGTCACTTATTACAATCATAGTTGTATTTAAAATTATTATTTTCTGTAACTTGTGATGAAAAACTTATAAGTAACTAATTTTTAATAGCTTAGCACGATTATATTAAGTATCTAATTACATTTAAAAGAGAGCGTTGTTCGCGCTTTATTTATTGTTAATTTTATTCAAGATTTTTCCAGCTACCTTTGTGTTATTTAACGACCTGGCAGTAGCGGCAAATTTCCATTTCGCTGTTGTGCGCTTGTTATAAAAAAAAACAAGTAAAAGAAGATAAAAAGGCAAAAAAAAAAATAAAGCCGTAAAAGTAGAAACAAAACATAAAGAAATTAAATTATTACCTTGTACGTTGTGCAAAACACAGAAACATTTTTAATCTTATCTGCTGTGTCCATTTGTTTATTTTTTTGCTCCTGGAACGGAATAAACTTTACAATTCTTTTTAAGAAAAAAAAATCATTAATCAAATTTGGTAATCCTATGGATATTGTTGTGATAAAAGATTTATTTCTAGTTATCGTGTATTTTTATATTAGTTGTCTTAAACAAAATTGCAATACTTTGGTTCACCTAAGTATTTTTATAGACAAAAATTATTTCCTCTGAATGATCGAAAGTAAATTTGTTTATGGTCGAAAATTATATTATAGTTAAATCAGTTGATTGATAAACATTAGCCAAAAATAACATTTCATTCGTCCATGTAGATCATCAAGCAACTGAAAATTATTAACTTACATATGTTAAGCTTAGTTATTAAACTCCGCCAGAACTCGCAATAAACTTATTCAATATGAGTAGAGTACAATGTTTTATAATCGAAATTAGTGTTATTTAAATTATTATACACAGAACAAACAACATGTCTTAGTTCTGTATAATTAATTTAAATTATATTTTAAAAACATTAATAATTAAATATTTTTTGTACTTCTGACATTTGTTTTAGATAAGATACATATAGTTGATTTACGTATATGTCATTCAGTACAAAATAATTAATTAACATACATGTGGTTCGACCTATACTTGCTATAAAATAACTTACAACTGGGAGTACTAATATACTAATGCAAAAATTCTAGAGTAATTTTAATGTAATATTTATGTTTCGTGTGACTACAAAATATATTATTTTTGTAATATGTTCAAAATATTATTTTTATATGTCAAGTTTGACGTATCGTCAAGTCCGTAGACATAACTATTTATCGGTCAAAATGGAAACGTATTTTTTTTTTTTTAATGACTCGTCAACTATAGGTATAGTTACTAGGCAGTGGGTATTTATCATGAGACTTGTCGTATACGTACTTACAATGCTAGTATTATGACAATTTTACAACAACGCTACTTAAACAGCGTCAATTCGTCGTTTGCTACATGATTTGCAATTTAAATTACCCAATTAAACAGAATGAACATAAATGGATTGTTTTATGGAGATTTCGTTGTACATTGTGTGAAACCCAAGCCATATGCTTTAAAATATCCAAGGTAGATATAATATATGCTATTGTGACTGTAAGTGTTTGGACAATTAACCTAAGAAATTTTAATTAACTGGTAATTATTGTCATACATCGTTAGCCTAGTTCTAACACCGTGGTGGTTAGGTTAAGTGTTAGGTGTCGCCTCTTAATTCAGTGTTTACCCAAAATGAGTTAGGTACCTAATGTATTTTTTTGTGGGCGATCGAGAATGGTCATCATGCCGCGGTGATCGAAACACTGAAAATGGCAGAAAAACGAGTACCCAACAACGCCTAATTAAATTTGTGCCAAAACATTGACAACACCTTCTAATTAAAGTGTCTTGTTGAATGCCGCCTACTATTTAAATATAAATGTATAGGTACTAACAGATTTCGACAGATAGATATGTTTATAGCGTCCACAATCCATGGCATTACTATTTACATTTTTCGCTTGTTCCTATTTTCTAAAACGCTAGTAAATCTAATATGTGTTACAGTCGTTGGCATCTAAAATTGTGTTGAATTTGTACTATTTGAGCTTCCGCTAGTATTTTTACTCTATTGGTTTGTACGATAGCGAAACTAAGGAACAGTATTTAATTATTAATAAACACTCTAATACTTAGGAAAGCATGAACATAATAAATTCGTTAGTCGTAAAAATCAATTAATTCTAAGAATTTTTCCTAGTCGTTTAATAATTGCTCGCTACATTTACACAATATGTGTATTACAGTTAGACACTGTTGGTGTATGATAGATATCGTGATGTTTTCTTTTAAAAACAAAAATCAACCTTATAATAATTACAATATAATAAGCGCGTAAAGACAATTTTAGTAAATCGTAGAGTATAAAAATAAGATTTTAGTAACGCAAAAATACTTTTGGTTGTCCTCACAGCTATAAGTGTATTTACAAATTAAAACATGTTTATGAAACACAATTTGTATTTAATTAATTCAAATTCAATTTTTAATTATTGTTGATAACGTTTACATGGCTATAATATAATTTATAAAACACCTTTACAATTTTGACAATATCGATACTTCTGGGAGTTTTGGGGTGATGGTAATAGTTCTACTACGATTTTGGAGTTGTGGTAAATTTTTGAAGAAAGACATTCTTTGTGTTTTGATAAAAACACTAAATCATACTTAAAAATAATTGAACCTCTCCCTGCCCAACTTCGCAGAGTTATTAGAAAATGTAATCATTTCATAAAATACTATACAAAACAGCTTGAGGGTATAGTACAACAGCAAGTTGCCCAATTTATGGGTTGTTAATAATTCAATCGTAAATCGTTAACTAACATTTTGATTGGTAAATTAATTAATAACCTAAAAAAGCATTAAAAATAATTTAACATAAATAAAAGTGTTTTTTCTCAAATTGATAAAATAACAAAACCTGTCTGATCTCGCCGGTATGGTAGTGCCGGTGTACCACACGCCTATAGTTTAAAGTTTTCATTGTATTATTTCTTGTATGTATATAATGTGTTAATGTGTGGAATTTGAATACTTTATATATTTTGCATAGGACTATCTAGTATCTTGACGGATTAACGGTGTAACAGACTGATCGAAAACCGTTTAAGGTAAAAACATACATTTTCTTATATTGACACAGAAATTCCTATTCGCCATATAGCGTTTCTTTTTCTCTTTCAAACTCTTGATGGCACCAGTGATGTGCACAGTACAACATTACACGTATTCCCCTTCCCTCGTCGAATTAGCCTTTAGTGTGTGCTACTCTGATCTCTTTTAAAGACACTTCCTGTTCGCAAAACTCCTTCACCGACGGGGTTAATTCGTTATATTATTCGAGTGCGCCGCGCCGGCGACTGCTAATAAAGACATGATGATTGTGCACGTGCGCGCCCTAAAAGTTTTCGTATCCTCCTCCTCCTACTGTCGCTGTTCGTTTGCGGCGTTATTCATTAAACACCGCTGCTACCATTACCACCACCCTGAAGTTTTACTCCTTAGAATCGACTTTCCTCTGTACGCAATGCAGTATACATTTATACAATATTATATATTCATGTCCATGTAAGCGACGGGTTTGTTATCTTGTGCGTTATTTTCGAAAAACACAGACTACGCTTCCTGCTCTGTATGTATCTCAATAACAATGAAATTATTCCGGTTTTTTGGTGTTCCGTAGTCCCGTGGCTTGGCCCTCCAAGAACGGACACAAAGAAAATACAGTTTTTGCGATCGGCCGGCGGCGGCACTTGCCGCAGATACAAAATCTGTAACGGCAAATCCAGAATACTCTATAATGTATTATTATTATATTGTTGTGCGTGGAAATAAGACGAGCATATTATTATTATTATTATTATTATTATATGGTGAAGAGTTGAGTGACCCCCGTGGCGAACTACAACACACAAACGAGAGGCACATGCCAGCCGAGGAGAGTACACGCACTATGCAGTGTATACCTGTACTATACTACACGGTGAATATAAGCCGTTCTTCTTTTGCCTGTGTGTGTGTATTTGTATATTGTATATGTTGCATATAGCAGCAGCCGTGAGAAGAAGGCGCGCATCCCGCCCGCTCGCCGTGCGCCGCCTACCGGATGCTTGTCACGATTTTCCTGGACGGCGGCGGCGGTAAGATCATCGCCGCGCAACAGAGCCACCACCCCCGCCGCCGGTCCCCACGGCTGTTCTCCACATAACGATATGATATTATTATATAAATAACCTTTCACCAAGATACACACATACAACCGCCTCAGCGAGTCTAAAGTATCATAGGCATACCTAATAATATAGGTACGCCGATGTACTTTTTAAAAAAATGTTCACGAGATTTGGACTAAGACAAAAAGCCATAGGATGAGATTTTCTGAAAAACTTATAGTAACTAATAGTTATACATTAAAAGAGCCATTGAAACCAGGTTTTTATTAAATAGACATAACAAAGGCAATATTTTATAGAAGGTTAGGTTTAAATAGATTTTAATTTTATAAACTTTTTGTTATGTTTAGTTTATATTATTTGTATGATGGGCAAACTAGATTAGATTATTGCAGATATGCCCTCCTTGTTTGTTTTATCAAAAAACTCAAATTTAAAATGATAACGTAAGAAGAAAACGTTTTAAAATGTATGTCTATATCATTATGCTGCCATTATTTTTAACTGATAAAAATATTAGTTTTTGCGCCAACCGAGTACAATTAAGAAGACAAGAGCAACTACTAAGGCAAGTTCGGCATTTAGTTTTTAAGGAGGTCCGGATAATTTGAAAACAAAAATCGAGGTCCAGAAAAAACTTAAATATTAGTTTAAAATGTATTTATGTTTGTATTATAAACACAGTTTAAGCCTTAAAGTAAATTAATTAATAGAATATATATTATAATATTAATTTTAATTTCATAAGAATAATTTACAATTTTATACTTTAATGAGAGAAATGACATGCTTTGCCCTGAGCCAGTTTTTTAAAATTTGGTACTCTTGGAAATCAACTAATGCGCAGAGTGTTTTCAAGGTGAAGACCAGCTTATTTTGAACGATATTTTTTTTTTAAAAAGGTCATTTTGGAACAAATCTATTACGTGCGGATTGTTTAGCAAGTTATTCTGGGTATACACAGAGACAAATAATGAAAAAAAAACCAGCGTTAAAGTAAAATATTTTCGGTGGTCCTTTTATTTTCCCTCCGTGGTCTGAAGTTGCACCGCGGGCCCCCTATTGCCTTATTGAATAAACTGAGGGAAAGAGTATATTAGATTAATAATTAAAATTGTATAGAGCCGGATATGCGGTGGGCCCCCAGGTGTAAAGGGATTTTGACAGAAAACTACTATATTTACTTTTACTGTGTCTACTTTTATTTTACCTCAAATATTAAAACCTGATTTTTAATATTCGAGGTTAAATAAAAGTATCTATTATATATAATAGGATATTATATATTCTATTATATATAATAGGATTTTTTAAAAAAAAATCTATTTTTACAGTATTTACGATTAAAATAAATTGATAAATTAATAAAAATATGTCATATCGAATTAATTAAATAGTAGTTCATTTTCAGACAAAATAAATAAAGTTGTATACGAAATTTTTGTTCAATAGTTAAAGTCTATTTTTTATTTTTATACATAGGTATTGTGATAGAAAATGTATAAAAATGATTAATATTTATTAGATAACAAACAGTAAATAAAAACATTCAGAAAACAAACTGTCCATAAATCCGTCACTGTATATTATACTATTATAACATACGTACGCTCTTTATTCTATACCGAGTCCCGGGAGTAGTAATATTTTTTAACCCATATCTATAAATTCGTATACACGAATGTTTGAATAACTATGATGAGATAATACTTAAGTTAACACTTAACATATTAGCTAAAGGAATTGTACTCGTGAGGTTAAAGTCAGTAATAATGATTAAATTCTAAACCGCGTACGCCCGGAAATAAAATCGGGTCATTAATGTATAAAAATACATGTTCTAAAGGCATAATATGTATGTTATTGATTATTATGAAAATGTGCTTTTCAAATGTAGTAACAGAGTATTAGTAGAGTTGTAAAACATAAAGTTTTTATTTAATTGTTCCAAGAATTAAGAGTTCAATCAAATGTTCACATTTATTTTTGTATAGTCGAACCATCTGAATTTGAAAACAATAACAATGATTTAAATTTTAAACATGCTGCGTTCCATTTGTAATTAATCCATCTTTATTTTTTTCACCTTTTTTTATTGATATGTATGTTATTAAAAATAATTATCGCTAGTCAAGAATACAATACATAACTTAAATATTGGTGTGTATTGTGGATAAAACATTATTATACACCATAATTATGGTTTTGTATGCGTAATTAAAGATAAAGACATTATACATAAAAAATGATTTTGAAAAAAACTTATGCAAACCGCAACAATTGACACAGTTTAAAACATTATGTTGATTTTTGACAATTAAAAACATTACGAAAAGAAAATCATTATATAAATGGCTTAAGCTTGTGTTTTCTTGTATTTTGTAAATATCATTTCATAAGTAGTATTCTTTTTTTTTTTCATAAACATTCATGACTAAATTTGTTGTTCGTGTTAAATAGTTAGAATATAGGTAAATGTATTCAATTTATATTTAAACGAAATGTTATTAGTTTATTCCAAAAAAAAAAAATATATATATATATATTATATTGTTGATTTTTTTCGAGAAAAAAAAAATTCCAGGAACGAAAGGGTTAATTAAAACTTGTAATAGTTGTGCGTTAAGTTAGGTGTGAACCACTCAATACCTCATAGGGTTTAATAAGAAATTACATTTTTTTTTCATATTTTTTTTTTATACAATATATAAGTATGTATAATATTATTTGTGTACAGTGTGTGTTAAAAGCGATAAGTGGACATTAGTTTAGTTTGAATGTTTTAGGTATCCATCACGTATATTGCACGCTTTAATGTTATGTTTTTGTTCTTTTCTTTCCCTCTAGTACCTATACACTCGGTTTTATTGTTTTATTTTGGTGTAGTTGTGCTAGAAGGTTATCCAAATGTAATAACGTCATACTCCTGATAAGGACACACAGAATTGGCTACTAGGAAAGAATTTAAGTAACTTTATTCCTGCGTTCATGAATTACAAGCAATCTACTTTTTCTTAACAAATACTGCTTGTACATTTTTTTTAAAAAAAATTTTAAATAAATATATATTTATTATAAACTTTAAGTATTTATGTATAACAACGTGCATACAAACAAGAAAAAAAGTGAAGGCACGAAAAACGATAAGTAAATGCTTTATTATAAAAACGATGAGTTTAACACGACACTTGTTGTATGTTTGTATTGCAAACATTAAACAACTTTTTATTTAAGAATTCAACGACAGAGGTCATATATCTGTATACTTATTGTATAATTACTCGAGCCTCTATATTTATATTCTTGCTTATCATAATATGCACGGTTTAGATTAAGTATTTTTGATCGAACATTATATTATTTATAATTCTTGTCAGATAATTGCTAAACGTTCTCTTATCCATCTTTGACAACTAATGACTGCCTTTTCATTCTATTTATTTATCTCTAGTCAATTCGCTTTTTATTATAAGCAACATTTATTGTAATAATAACGTATGTAAGTACAATTTAGTTCTATGAATTAGTACTAGTACTAGTAATCATCGAAATCTAGCAACACCCTGAAATTCGTACACGAACTTCTAAAACTAAACGTCGTCATTATAAAATAATTAGTGAACGGAAATATACATAATTCAGTCTACCCCGCATAGACCAAAAATTGAAATTGGTACCTAGAAGACTTTTATTTATCTGATTACAACCTTCTATACGATCTCATTGGTATTTAGTAAGCATTTAATTACAGATCACGGTTTGAAATATCTATTTGAAGCCGTTTGGGTGTCCGAGATTGATTTAGAAATTGTACTATCATAAGTGTTAAATAAATAGTATCTTTTGTTGCGCATATGTTCCTAGGCGTGTTTCACTATTGTAGTTTTAAGTGTCTACTTTTTTGGCGATTTATGTATATCTTGCGATTTTTTTTTTCCATGCGAATTTACTGTAGGGAGAATCATTGTGAAATTGAAAGGCGGCGGCGGAACAAGATGACAGCGTACATCACCGAACTATCCGACATGGTGCCAGCATGCCAATCGCTAGCCCGAAAACCGGACAAGCTCACCATACTCCGGATGGCTGTAAACCATATGAAAAGTCTTAGAGGTATGTATTTTGTTTATCGTTTAATTAAATCATATCAAAATTAATATCAAAGGTTAAAGGTTTTTACGCGTTATCCATATATCATAAACATCATTTAACCGACGAAACATTTATTATTGACATTATAAACGTTTAAAAATAATCCAGATACTAAATTCTAAAATTTGTGAAGAGCAAAAAATAAGATATTTCTTATCCAATACAATAGTATCTAACTTTAATTAGTAATAAAAATAATGTATTAATTAATTCTAATTTTCATGTTGAGTAAGTCAAATTGTATACACATATTTTATTAACGAGCAGTTAATCGTTAATAAATTGGTGTCGCTTTTGCCGGTTCGACAACATTTTTTGGGCACTATTTATCATTAATAAATTTGGCAGTATAATAAAAATAAATACTTGTGTTTTACATTTACTTCTGCATTAAACAAATCATTATTTACATTTTCTCTTTTTTTTTACGACTACCTTACATAAATCGATACAATATATATAAAATATTGTTTTTAAAAGTAAAATGTTTTATTAAATATTTAATATTTCATACAGTTTTACTTTAGCCACTTTTTTAAACTTTAAATCAATTGAGGGGAGAGATATCTCTCCAACTATTGCCCTTTAGAAGGTGCTCACAAACACACCGTCAAAAAAAAACGGGAAATTTATATTTAAAAAAATCGGGGTAATTTTAATTTTTTGTTTCTTAATGTGAACATAATGTTATGTACTTATTACGTATTAGTTCATAGACCAGAAACCCGGCTCGGCGTTCGAGACAAATAGGTACTATACAATTTTCTTCATTTGAATACCAAATACGGTGGGTTGGCACTGGACTGGCCTTGATCTCTGAAAGGAATGGCATCGTGATTATTGAATGAGTTGTTTGTATAAAATATATTTTTAATTCCGATCACGGACCGTTTAATGCATTGTCTAGTAAAAGAACCGAAAATGTCTTTCCTGCGAATTCTTCACTTCGCCATCGGTTGAAAATATAAATAAAAGAAACTACAGCGTATACAGTTAGAAATCTTTTTTTTATTATTTCCTGAACTCCTGAGGCCTATAACAGAAATTAACATATTTGCTGCAGAAAACCGTTGTTACTATTTTGGGTGTGTATGTTATGTTATTATATAGACCTACGTTTGTCATTGTCGCATCTGTTTACATAAATCATAGGAGGTTTTACTTAACGAGAAAACAGGCCGAGCGAGAGAAGGTTTCTCTTACAGTTTAAATATTTTTCCTCGTCAAAAATGTATTTTAATCTAGAAGTTAACATTTATAGTGTGAAATTCCAAATCGATATATTGCTCGCAGAATTAAAATTATTATTAGTGCAATAAACAGTTTTTCTATTAGCAAGATTCTCAGTGAAATAAAAAAAATATTTTCTTTCATCTTTTATGTTTTTTATTCACATACAACTAATACCTCTAAAAAATGCATCAAGCATTAAGTCTCTTGATTCGTACTTATAGAGATTGTATAAATCCCAATAGATTGAAAATCGTGTACTGTTCTTTACTTTTCCTAAGTTAAATTAAACCTGAATAGTATTCAAAGTCGTTTGCTTCTATTTGTATGCTTTATATGTAAAATACATAAAGTCATTTATGTCATGACTCTTTAATTTTGATCTTATTAACGTAAAAACGGTCAAATATGGTTTGTGTTTCTATTTACTTGCTGACCTTAATCGATATTTTGGCGTTTTTCTTGAAATCAACTTTGCCGACAATGGGGTCCCTTTTCGCTTTCCGCATCATTACTGTATAAATTATTATAACTTAGTGTACTCGTGAAACTTGTTAATTTTATAATCTGTATTAAGCTGTGCCCTTTGATATGCAAGATAAATTTTAAATAAACAATATGACGTGGACATTCTGTTTCCGACGATAGGAAGTAAAACTGTATATAAGTATCATATAACAACAAACGTTGGGTTGTTGCGTTTCCTAACGGCAGCAATAGATGTCTACAGGGAAGAGAAGGCGCGTGAGAACTGGCAAAAGAACTGGCGAGAATTCATCTCGGATAAGAAGAACACCCTATTGCAGGATGCGTGTTCCCTTTTCATTTATTTCCTTTGCTCTTACAGTGTTGCGTGTGCTCTATCGCGTCCGGTATCAGATGCTCTACAAGAATCGAGCGAGACGGCCACCTCGGGTTCAATTATTTAATTTAGTCTTTTTTTCTTATTTTCCGGATGTTCTACTCGTGGGTATTTATTCGTAAAGTGCTTCCTTCCGATAATATCTGCTATGTTTTTTCTATCAAAGGTCCTTGTCATTTCCCTTGCTTTACCCCTCGGAAATGCCCGCTCCGGGCTAATGCATTTAATGTAATTGTATCGTCTTTTAAGCAAAATGTATACAGGCCATCAATTCGGTTGATCACTATCGTTCATATCATACCAACTCATAGATAACGGCCAAATAGCCACCAACTCTAACTGCTAGTGTTAACCATATAAATAAAATACAATACAATATTTTGACTTTTCACAAGAAAGGGGGAAGCCGGTAGCTGTACGCCAGAGGAATCATCTGTCACAGATAGTTCATTCGCGTTTGGACGTTTTGTTTTTGTGACCAAAATATTAAAAATTATCGACACTGTGTAATAATTTAAAAAGAAAAATAATTCTTTTGGCATTCGTACGTCGTGCGTGATGTGATAATAAAATAAAAAGTAAGTACGTCAAAACCGAAGGGTGAAACAGGAAATTGACAATGGACGTGACAATAAACAATGGGACTTTGCCGTCGGCTGACAGACGCACAGCGCTTGGCCCGGTGAATATTAAACATTATTATAAACATTATTTCCAACATAATAATAATATATATATATAATAACTGCCTGGCTTTGACCGGGTTCCAACTTCCAAGTGAACGCAGGCCACCTATAATGCGACAATACTCATTCTCACTGTTTCTTGGCCGTACCATTTGAATACAATCGGTTATAGTTGTATTTTTTTTTTTTTTTTTTTGTATCCGACGAGAGGCGAGTCTCCGTTATATTATTATATATTATATTTTACTAGTACCAAAGAAACCGTAGAAAAGAAAACAAAATACATGTATAATATTATTTGACGGTATATAATATGTATATACTGTATACATATAACATGAGTGTACAACTAAAGGTAATAAGTACGAGTAGTATTGAGTAACGCGTGTACCGAGGGAGCGAAACGGTCGCCAAGTGCCATAAACGCGGTCGTAAAAACGTTTATTGTAACTACTTGGCAATGCCCTTCTATGTACAGTGTTTGCCTGATAAAAAAAAAACTGATTTAACTGATTAGTAGCAGACTGTCTACCGGCTCCGGTTCGATCGTAATGATTAGTAGTTTACCTATTGCGAGAAATCAGTTTTTCCTAAGTTATAATTTACTAAACAGTTAATCTAAAATAGGTCGTGTCAACATTTTATATACCTAGTCTTGTTGTCTGGTATCTTTGTACTCTTTAATTTTGTACAAATGTAGGTACTACGCTACAAATGTTTAGTTCCTCGAATACTTGCATTTTCTGAGATATGTTTTACACAAAAAGTAATGTGACGCCCTCCCTTAAATAACTATCCGCGACGGCCGAGCAATATTTTCCAATTTTGACTGGAAACGATAATATAATTATTTCCCTTGACGTCGTAAATCATGCACTTAACGTGTACCGGTCCGAGTTTCCGGAGACCAAATAAACCATAATTTGTATTTTTTTTAAACCTTTAGGCTTCGGTCAGCAAAGCGGTCGACGCGTGTAGCTAACCTATACACTTTTTTATTTAACATTTTATTATAGCGCTCGTGTGCATAATATATATTTTTATTAAGCGCATGTAGTCCATTTGTCGATTTACGCACACGACAAAGGAGTGGGTGACCTGGCCAGCCAATAACAAAAAGTACCTATATTATTTTACAAACTGTGCAAAAATAAATTACCTTAAAACCACTCAACTCCGTATAGGCCCTCCGAAAAGTCCAACGACTTGGGATGTTCGAGAATCCATTCTAGAAGTGCTAATGTAAAAAAAAAAAATTAATCTGGTAAGACCCAGAGTCCAGAGGCCAAGGGGGGGCTCATCAAAACTAAATTGTAAGAGTGTGAACCCAAAAGGTTTTAGACTTTCCCTACTCCACTTTACCTTGGTCTTACTCTGACCAAATAAAGTTCTGATTGAGCTCTCCTTTAGAACATCTTCAAATTAACATTGAGTTCCTTGGTCGAAAATGGTTTTTGACCTGTCTTTAAACTGTCGAATATTTTTTAATTAAACCTTCCTCTTTTTTTTAATGTTAAAAAACGCTATAATGTGGTTTCTTGTTTGAGAACGATGTGTTATTTTGGCTTTTATTTTGTAATTGTCTCTAAAGTCTGTCATTCAACTTTTAGGCACAGGCAACACGAACAATGACGGCACGTACAAGCCCAGCTTCCTGACGGATCAAGAGCTTAAACATCTCATTCTGGAAGCTGCTGACGGATTCCTTTTTGTCGTCACCTGTGATACCGGCAGAGTCATATACGTGTCCGATTCGGTCGCACCAGTGTTAAACTATTCTCAGGTAACTATAAAGAGCACCTAGAGGAGAAGGTGTTTGATTGGAAAATAGAAAGCTTTGAACATGAATTCTATGTGTTATATTGTAGAACGACTGGCTCGGAACTAGTATGTTCGACCATTTGCACCCAGAAGACGTTGAAAAAGTCCGGGAACAATTGTCCACCCAAGAGCCACAGAATTCAGGTCGCATACTAGACTTGAAAACAGGAACCGTAAAAAAAGAGGGCCACCAGTGTAAGTCCAGTACAATTATATATTTTAACAGTATAAATACTAATGTTTTTGTAGAAGATAACATTTTTATTAAAACATTTTCTTTATCTTTCCATAATTTCTTCTTCCCCTTTCCTGCCAACCTCCTCAATGTTATTTTCTATCTTAAATAGTACCATTTTAATTGTTATAACTTAAATGTAATAAAAAAAAACATATTAACAGATAAATTTTTTTACAGCTTCAATGAGACTTTGCATGGGTTCTCGCCGAGGTTTTATTTGTCGAATGAAAATCGGTAATAGTGGTGGTATGATGGCTAATATTTCTGGACACAACCTGCACCAGAGACTTAAACAACGCAATACTTTAGGGCCAACACGTGACGGCAATGAATTTGCTGTTATTCACTGCACTGGCTATATTAAAAACTGGCCTCCGACCGGTCAGTTTGATCATCCATTATCTGGTATGCTGTCGATCTGTCGTCTAATCACTACGATGACACTTACCATTCAAATAATAAATACCATCATTATTGTCGTTTCGCTTCTATTTCAATAAAAAAATGTTTTTTTTCTACACAGGTGTACAAATCGAACGAGCTGTTGAAGAAGATGGCACTCACTGTTGTTTAGTGGCAATTGGCCGATTGCAGGTTACTTCCACTCCAAATACAACAGATTTAGCTGGTTCAAACAGCAATGCCGGTAAATATAATTTAACTTGGTTATTATAAACACTATTTGCTAATTTTATAAAAATTAATTTTGATATGTTATCAGAGTTCATATCACGACATTCTATGGACGGTAAATTTACGTTTGTTGACCAACGGGTAACCCATATACTCGGCTATAAACCACAAGACCTTTTAAGTAAAACGTGTTACGAATTCTTTCATCCTGAAGATCAAACACACATGAAAGACAGTTTTGAACAAGGTATACTTATAGACCATTGAATTGTTCACTTACCTTAGCTTAATATTTGTTTTGTTTTAGTTCTAAAAATGAAAGGACAAGTCATGTCTGTAATGTATCGTATTCGAGGAAAAAATCATGATTGGATATGGTTACGGACATCAGCTTTTGCTTTCTTAAATCCATACACCGATGACATAGAATATATTGTGTGTACAAATTCTACAGCTAAGTAAGTACCTATTAAATATAGTAGATTATTTGTTTCTATGCATTGTTAACTAATTAATTAAATAAATAATTAGATCATCGATGCATTCGCCATCTGAAAGTGGAGTAAATATAAACAATCCGTCCACTGAACCCGTGTACCAGCAGCAAGCACCTGGTCTGGACTATTCAGTTCAAAGGCGAGACCACGTTGCCGCACCTCCATATCAAGCACACGCAATGATCGCTACTGCTGCAACACCTAATCAACATATGATTCGTATGTCATTATCATATAACAATTATTAAAATATAAATGATTATAATGTGAAATGTATCGTGGTTGTTATTCTAGCAAACAACACAGCACAACGACCGAATAGTGCCCAAAATGTTTTCAACACCTACGAAACCAATGCTTCGCCAATAAGCTATCATTCTCCCAACCAGGGAACACAAAATCAAGTACAGTCGCCTTTGATCAACCGTATAACAAAATCAAGCCCAACGCCTGCACAAACAGCATGGACACTGCGTCAGGTATGATTATATTTCAATTTTACGCTAGTTATGAACTAAAACAATTTTGCGACACGGCCATAGTGTATTATATTCTGAGTAGAAGATTTCTATTTATACTATGTAAATTGTATTGTTTTCTTGACTTTTCTATAACTATCATATTGTTGAATTAATTTATATCAATATATTTAAAAATTTGTGCAAATTACTCATCTGTTTGGAAAACTTCAAAATAGTATATTTTCGAAAATGTAACTTAAAAAAGTTATATTACAATGATGTATTTTTATTTTTGCCTGGGCCCATGATATCTTTGAAGCCGCTGAACTGATTTCTTGATGTGCCAACTCTTTAGATCAGAAATTGTACCTAAAATGTATTTTTTTTTTTTTGCCAAAAATTTAAAAAGTTCACATCTTCTATTTAAGTCAGTGAAAACACCCACAAAATTTACATATTTTACAACTTCAAATTACTGTACTCAATTTTTTATAGATATAGTTGAATTATTTCTAAATTTATATGGAATATTATAAATAAACATTGGTATACCAAAAAAAATATAACAAACCTTTTTTTCTAGAAGGGATGGACAACTTTTTTTATTATTTTTTTTTCAAGCATAGTTTTTAGGATATAAAATCTGAAAATTATATTATAGGTAGTAGAGGTCTGTGCAGTCCTAACAAAATGGGACTGGACCATAAAATTTAAAAAAATACTAATTATTCGAACCGGACTGTCCCGTAAAGTATTATTTTGTAACTTGCACCAACTAAGCCCAGGCTAAAATTATGTTATTAAAACCTGGACCAACCCGGCTCAGATTAAACATTTCTTTAAGAAACCAGGAACAACTCGGTCCTGATTAAAAAAATGTTAAGGAACCTGGCCAGGATTAAAACTTTATAACCTGTGACTTCCCCTGTCCCAATATGCCTCAACCCCACTGTGTTGGTTTTTTTTTTAATGTGAATATTATTTATTTAAATAAAAATAAGAGTTTATTGAAATTGATGTCGCACTATATATGGGGTCATAATCCAGAAGAAAGTTAAAAACAGATTTTTGAAAAATAATTTCCATCTCAAAAATTATGGTTTTTTCCTTAAAATAATAGTGTAAACAAAAAATAAATGAATTGACAATTTTTCCTGCAAAATAGTTTATTGAATACTTGTTTAATCACATTTTTTATTTTAGCCGGTCACTGAAGGTTACCAATACAACCAAGAAATGAGTCCGTCCCGTTCACCATCAGGTCCAACTTACACTCAGTTAGGTGCTGGTGCGCGACAAACGACCTATCATAACTCCTCGCCAGTTACTGCATCTCCTGGTATATTTTAAAAATAAAATTTGGATTTGATTATGTGATTAAATATTCAATTTTTTTTTATAGGAATGTGGGGGTGGCAAGCCGGAGCAACTGGCGCTACAGCTGTTGCAAATAATGTTCCACCACATCCTCACGGTGGTCATCCTCAAGAACTATCTGATATGATGATGCAGATGCTCGATCAGAGCGCTGCTGCAGCTTCTTTTGAAGATTTAAACATGTTCAATACAAATTTTGAATGAGTTAACCCAATGTAGCTAAATTGAAACATCTTGCTGCTGTTCATCGTTTGACGCATGCGCTCATTATAAATTACTTTGGCTAAATTTGGAATTGGTGTTTATCGCAGTACAATTTACTGTCTCAGCATGATGTGACAAATTAGCAACTATGTTTCTTGTCAGATAAATGCTGCAATATTTGATCAAATAAATTCCAAACCTTTCATATTATGTAGATAATCTCATTTGTTATTATTGGTTTATTATGGATATTTCTTTTTATAAGTATCTTAATATATAAGGATAAAAATGTACAGTTTATTATAAAAATATTTTGACAATTTAATGATAGGTATAATTTACAACACCTAATTTTCCTGTATTTTTTATTACCTGCATTTTAAATCGTTAAAGTATGAATTGGAATTACTTTTTTTTTTCAAGACACTTGGCATCTTGCCAGTTATTTATTTTTGTAACTAATGCTATTTTCTACCTCTGTTTACTTTCTCTCTAGCATTTCAGCCCTGTAGATAAATTTTTATAGCATTGACGACTTTTGACTTCAATCTTCATTTTAAATTCTTCCGGTTTAAATTTCAAGCTTTGGTCGAACCAATGTCAACTTAGTGCCATAATAACCGTAATGTTCACCAATTAAACTTTAAAACTAAAATTAAACTTATTTCAATAAGACATCTTTGTAAACCTATGTCGAAAATTACTTTTAGACACATATCATAAAATATCTAATCCTTCCATAATTTAGTTTTTATTTTTTCAAACCGACTTGTTTTTAATAAACTTTCAGTAGTACTTTTATAGTTTTATTACAAAGTATAATAGTACTGATTGCAAAATAAAAAAAACAGTGAATCAAATAAAATCTACTGGGAGTTTTTTCTTACATGCTCGGACCATGTATACAAAACTGTATATATTGTATGTTTTAAATAATTATTTAAATTACTGTCATAAGTGTGTGTGATTTTTTTTATACAAGAATATAATTTTAAAGCTATTATTTCATATTAATTTGTTATTCTATCAATTTATATCATTTTTTTATTAAAGAATAATAATACGACAACAATTTTGTTGAATATTTATTCTGTTTAAATATGTGTACAATATAAATTGTAAACAATATTGCGATACATACATATTATTCATAACATATTATATTAACCTCTTTCACTTCTATCACCAATACGAATTTCTCCTCTCGCGCAGTTTATTTAAAATATCATATGTATTAACATACATAAATTGATTGTAAATAATACACTAAGTTTATACATAAATTTTTTATTGTACAATATTATTATACAACAATATGTATTAGGTATAAATTATAATAAATTTAATTAAATTAGAGGTTTTTTTAATTATTTAAAAACAGAATTTTTTAACCTTATTCCTTTGAATTTTTATTTGTGGTTATTCTACCCTAAAACAATTATTTTGTATTTATTTTATTAACTAGTTAAATCTTTTCATACCAAATACTATAGTTAGTCATCTTGTGATAAAAGTTGAAAAATTATACCCGTGAAATCCTAAGATGTTTTGTTGAGAATTATAAATTAACTTAAACATAACATGTACAGAGTACTCATTAAATTAAGGGCCTCTGCACCTGCTTATTTTTGGTCAAAAAACACTTGTTCTAATTTTAACTGTCTTCTGAAACACGTTATCCAATAATAGTTTTAAAAACGGAAAAAGATTTTAAATACTTAATAGATCAAACAAAGTACCTGTTTAATAAATTTTCGTTTTCAATGTTGTAAAAATCATTAAAAAATTGAAATTTTTCACACAGAAATGAAGAATAATTTTTAAATTGTACCACAATCGATACCTTATAAATGTTATAAAGAATTAATTTATGTGTTTAAACAAAAATACTACCTGTATGCATTACAAAAGTTGAAAAGAAAAATTAAATTTTAATATAAATCCCCCTTTCCTGTGTTAATATACCGGGTGATTCTTTTAACGCCATACTCTAGTTTACTCTCAAAAAAATAAAATTTTCAGTTTTTCTTTTTGGAACATTTTAGTTTATGCTATATTACAATATTAAACAATATTCAATTTTTTATCTTTTTTAGTATTTTCTAGAGCATTATCGACTTTTGAAACTTAAATGGTAACAAATATATTTTATTATCTTTTTAAATTAAGAATAATTTTCTGAAAATGTTGACTGGTCGATAACCAGTTTTAAATAAATAAGTTTATTATTATTATAGTTTTAAATTTTGGACAGATATCTGCGCGCGTTTCTTAACCGCACTCCACCTCCAGTCTTAAATTTTAAACCTAAATAACTTGAAAAATAATTATGCAAAACTGGTTATTGACCAGTCATTTTTTTCAGTAAATTATTCTTAATTTAAAAATTAAATTAAATATAAACGTTACCATTTAAATTTCAAAAGTTGATAAAGCCCTAGAAAATACTAAAAAAAGATAAAAAATTGAATATTGTCTAATATTGTAATATTGCATAAACAAAAATGTTCCAAAAAGAAAAACTGTAAACTAGTGTAGGGCGTTAAAAGAATCACCAGGTATATGTGGGGATTAAAAGCAGACGGTTTTATAAACTTTTTACTCTTAAAAGTCTAACAAAATTACGCCTACCTAAGATGGTCCGATTTCAATTGTAAAAAATGTATTGCACTCTGTTCTAGGTTATTGTGGGAATACATTTTTTATATTTCAATTAAAAGTGTGTTTTAATCCTATTTATATTTCTAAAATTTTTAGTATTCCTACTATTGTTTTTTATATGCGTAACAGTTATTCAAAAATTGGTTTTCAAGATAACCTAGAGAACAGGTCGAATACATATTTTTATATTCTAAGTAGGAGTAATTTTGTCAGGCTCTTAGGTCTAAAATGGTTTCTTGTAGGAACAAAGTGGCTTTTACTCGTAGAAAAAATTGTATACGTTAAAAATTATGACTTGAAGCTTGTACAAATCCTAAAAATAAATTGACAAGGTCAAAATTTATTAAAATCACTTTTATCTTAAAAATTGCCTATATTAACCAAAAACCGCCCGCTTTCCATCCCCTAATGTTAAATTTTAGTGAACAATTGCTTTAATAAATGTTGGTATAAAGGCCCGTTAGTGTAGAACTGAGATTTCAGTTACCGACTAGTGATTTCAAAGATATTTAAATTCCAACTCTCGTGTACTTGGAGATAAGTTAAGTATTATTAGTAAATCTAATCTCATCACAAATAGTCAATGTGAAAACACCTTATTTTGAGAGGTTACACCAAACTTCTTTTCACATTCCTTATATTAAGCATATTCCTTATTATTCCTTATTAAGCAGTTTTCCATATAATTTTATTAAAATATACATGCAAAACAGACTGATGGGGTCACATATACAAATATCTATCTTCAAATATTTTATGGATTATTCAGATTTAACTGTATAATTGGAATATTACAGTTAAATAGTCTATGTATTAATTATGTACAATTATTAAAAGCTCTGACTGGTTTTATGTCAATTTGTAACATTAAAACAAAGTCAATTTTGTTTAGTACTTGTTAATACTGATTATTTCGAAACATATTAATATTGAGTTCATAGTTAACAATAGAATGTTTATAAGGTCAAATGATTTTACTCAAAAATATCCAATTAGCTTTTCAATTTTTGTTATTATATTAATAAAACCAGTGTTATTAATATAATTAATAATTGTAGATACATACAAAAGAAAAAATATATATATTCCTATAAAAAAACCAAATATTGTAATTAAATAAATTTATTGTTTGTCTTTTTGTTTATTTTTCTCTTTTTCCAAAGCTTCTTTTTCTGCTTCTATAACGTTGACCATTGCTTCAAGAGAAGCTGGGTCTAGCATTCTCATCTTCTCGTTGTTTTTTAATACAACCAGTTCAATGTTCTTTTGACCAGATTGGACCACTTCTAATAACGCTCGAACTGCTAATTTGATAGTACCTTGTTCTGTACTGACAGCTTCATCGTTATAATTATCCTAAGATAAAAACAAAAAAAATGACAATAAATAATGTTACTATCATGAAACATGTTTACCTTTTATTACCTGTAAAAACTCTTTGACCAACTTGGAATTGCGTCCAGTGGCATTTGCTTTCCACTCGTAATAAATACCAGACGGTTCCGACTGAAAAAGATGTGGAGTACCATCGTTGTCAAAACCCGCAATTAAGCACGATATACCAAATGGACGACGTCCATTACTTTGGGTGTATTTTTGTTTAATTGAGGCGACGAACCGAGTGATATATTCGGTAGTTACGGTTTCTCCCAGTGTAAGGTACTGAGACTGACATTCCATCTGTGCACGGTTAATGATGACACGAGCATCTGCCGTCAGACCAGCAAACGCCATCACAATATGGGAATCCAGGGGACATATCTTACGGACGGTGCGCTCTTCTTGAAGCATAGCAATCGACTTTTTCTCTACTCCGAGTACGACACAGTCTTTACCCATTACACCAATAGCCGTGCATCCTTTTCTTACCGCTTCCTGTGCATATTCAACTTGCAGAAGATGGCCATCAGGTGAAAACACCGTGATCGCTCTATCGTAACCACCAGACATAATTGTAAAACACAAACAAAAATTAGAAAACGTAAAAACTAAAGAAAATTATTTTACTTAAAAAATCAAAACTACTATGAGGCTGTATTCTAATTCATATACGACCAACGATGACTATGTGTATTTTGAATTGAGAAAATTCGGCATTGTCTTTTGTTATCAACATGCGGTATCATGATCAACAGTGCAGCCAACCTAAGGACGATCGTTAAATTACAACTGTACCAATCGTAGATGTTGTAATAATCAGAAGGGAAACCTAGGCCACGACTGATGTGTCCGACATTTTGTTTTCGTGAATTAAGTACAATATTTAAATGTATTTAACTAAACTCCGAGAATAATATGTACCAATGCATTATGTATTAAATAATTCATCATTACGTACTTCAATTTTTTTTCAAAATTGATTTCCTATTAGGAAAAATTTCTTTTAGAATACGGAGTGCGCAGTTTCTACTTTTAACCTTATAAAGTACCTTCTGGGTAAATCGGTCAGAAAGAAGTTGCCAGTCTTAAGTCGGGTTTCCTTATTCTTAATTTAGAAAAATGTCTTATCATAATATTATTTATATTTTTTATTATATACTAAGGTAAAAGTATCTATTAGACCTATTTTTAGTTCAAACATAGCATAACCCGAAAAATTTACCACTCCTAGGGTAGAATGGGATTGAAATTTGGAGATTATTGTTTCAATCTTGCATGCCTAATGATAATAAGCATATTCACTCGATTAGACCATTTTTCACGAAGTTATATCAAGTACAATTTGAAAGATGGAAAATTTACCCATTCTTAATAGGGTGAAGTATAAAACTTCTCTGTCTTTAAGCCCCCCTTCCTCAAAGTACAAATTCGACACAACTACAGATAGAGTTGCTGATCAGGTAAATCAGTCTAGCTATTCAAGTTATTTACAGACAAAGAAACCTATCACAACTTAGCATCAAGTTACTATTTAGAGAAGTTCCAAAAAAGTAGGACAAAATTTAAAAACTTAAAACTTGTTTTAAAGAGGAAAATTATCGAATAAAATATGAGACAATAATTTAATAGGTTCGAATATAGAAAATGTTCGACGCTTTTGAATAAATAAATAATTTATATTTTTAAATAGTTGTAATCGAATAATTGTTTTATTTTTTATTCGTTATTTGAACATTTTGTCTGGATAACAATTTTTCTCAACACTGAATTATGTAGCTACATAGAATTATACAGCTAATACACCCATTGTCCCATATTTCTAATGGGCAATGACTGTTTGCTGCTTGTCTAAATTGGGAATGTAAAGATTCTCTATGAAATCGATTAAAATTTAGGTTAAGTTAGGGCTCCACTTATATATTCCTATGATATTCCAACCTTAGTTGCACGGGGAGTCAAAAATTGCAAAAAAATCCGTGTCTGCTAAATGTTGAATCAGTGACATAATTCATGATCGTTACTATAACTTCCATAACTAATCCATCCTATGTGTCCTATGAAATAATATTGGTATTTTTGTCTATTTAAGCCCTACTATTTGTATAAATAGACAATGAATGAGTCCTGGTGGTATCCAGTGGGTTCCAATCCAGGGGGCCTTTGTCCTTTTTCAATTCTACCTATGAAATAATAAGATTCAGATTGTTTTCACTGGTAGTACGTTATCAATAACTAGGTGGACTTTCCATTTAAAGATTGGTGGGTTACTATGGCGACACTCTAGAAGGACTCCACGAAAGGAGTCCTTCTTTGGATACTAACAGGAATCTTAGTTTTGTGTAAAAAATTAGCAAGCACATCAAAAAGCGAATCCTTTAATATATTTATCTATTAATTTATACAGGCTGCCGACTAGACCCTTTTGAACATACAACAATTATTGAGATAACAGATAAAATTAGTATAAAATTAAAATAACTTAAAATATAGAAATTATACATAATTAGATTAACAACAAATCGTTAAAGGTAGGATCCGCATTGACAGTCGACATGAGACGTCTTTAAAGCTCATTAGTCATATAGTTGGTAGTGACTTGGGGGGACGTGAGTGGAAACACTGTAATCTCAGTGTTATTACACTTACTTTTATATTTTCAATATATAGTTAAACTTGTAGCAAACGGCTAAAACACAATTAAAACTTAAAAAGGAATAAAGCATTATCATTTTATTAATTGATAATATCTATACGTATTATTGGAGTGTAATATGGTACTTCTCTCTCTTGGTACCTACTTATGATATTTAATTGACTAATAACAAACAGTCAAAACTTACATTTTCAGAAATTCTTTCGTGTTAATACACTCGTGTATGTAGAAATTACACATTAAATAGCGACAGTACATTTATGCATGTAAAATGTTTATTAATTTAAAATAAAATGTGGATTAATAATTGTCAATTGATAATTATAAATTATTAACTAGGCTAGTATTAATTAATTTTATTTAGCGATCATATTTTTATTTCATCAACTTAATAATATTATTAATTTTGTATGGCGTGTATGATGTATAATAATTTATGACGTTTTGCATTATTAAAAACGTTCATACATTATAGCATATACATTTAGCACAATAATATATTATGATTTATGACAATGTACATATTTTAACAGGTGTATTTCTTTTCGAAAACCATTTTTTCCGCGAAATTCACTTAGGTTTTTGGTGTGTACCAACACGTTTATGAAAAATATTCTACTGTTCATGTTTCATTTGTCATTTGATAAGTGTTGGTCGTTCTCTTTCAAATACCTGCGCTTGCACTAAAAACGACAACAATATGAGTGTACTTCAATTGCGATCAAGAACTGTACACAATTTGGCAAATGATTACGTGGCACTTAACGTCGAATCGTACAATGAAAAAAAAAAATCTATTAAACTCTTCAGCCTATGCAATTGGGTAAGTTAAAAGATTTCTTATGGAAATAATTATAATGCACTCGGGTATAGGTCTTATTTTCAAAGGCAAAACTATTTATATCGTTAAAAGTGAAACTGACGAGTTAGGCGCAAGTAGTGTTTGGCTTATTCAAATGACCAATATTTTATATTATTACCATTAATAGTACATGCTTTGGGAGATAATTTCAAAGTAACTAAATTAACAATTTATAAAAGGAAACTTCAAAACTTTATGATTTGCCGCAGTACACATTTCTAATTTCACTTCTATGTTGGTATTAAGGTTTAAAATAATTGTATAGGTACTGCATGTTAGGTGATTAATAGTGTTTGCGGTTAACATTATAATTAAATATAATTGGTACATACGTAAAATCACATCCACATCTTATATTAGCCTTACTTTATACGTTGGAAAATGGCAATCTTAATGATCCCTTTTTTTGTTTTTTTTGTTAAAGGCGTTTTACAAAAAGATGTCGTCCTTTAAGAAATGGATTTTGTGCATGTTTTTAATCATAACGTTGGGCATATCAGTATACTTTTTATTGTTTCACAAATATAAAACTTTAAATATACGACCCCCCACTTATGTTAAGCTATAACAAGTAAAACATACATTGTCTATTTTGTTTGAGATTTTATTTAAAATAAACTTTAACACAATTATTTGTTGCAATAATATTATTTCATAGACTTAATTTCCAAATTCCAAATTCCATTCTTCAGTTAAAATACCTATAATAGAGTTTATTTACATTGATATATAATTTAGCTTTCAATTTTAATATTGTTTAATTTTAGTTAATTTTTAAGCTTGGCTGTTGTGAACGAACGGACACATTAATTTTCATTTAAGTATCACTCTAATAATATACTCTTAAAGAAAAAATATTACAGCACGACAATTATTATGATAAATTATATAAACCGAAGAGAAGAAACTTGAAATAAAACGAAGCGTAAAGTATAATTATTACACGTAACAAGAAAAACAATTAAATGTGAAAGCCATCATTAGTAAAAAAGAACAACGGACATTTAAAAAACAAAGGGATCAAGGCCCAAGGGAGGAAGCCTACCCAAGGACACTTAAATGGGAGAGCATTGGAAAGCATGATCGTAAAGAAGGTTATGACTTAAATCGCTTCGTGCAAAAAGGGCCTAAGTCACCATTTTATCAACATCGTGATTATTACAGATTCGTTATCACTCTACTTAGACGCATCGATTCATGTTAAACAAAAATTAGTCCCATTACAAGAAAATTATTAATTTTTGTAATAAGGGTCTAAGTCCACTATATTTAAATGCTAATAATCTGGACTGCATTTGAAAATAATAATATTGTTTTACATAATGCAATTTTACTGTTTAATATCTAACTTTGATAAAGCCCTTATATGTTTATGCACTTTGAAACATATTAAACGTTTTTTCATTTTTCCAACAAACTAGTGTTGTAACATAGGTAGTCAGGTGAGATATTTCAGAAACCTAAAGGTGGGTAGAGAAGGGCGTGTTGTAAAGCTGTAGACGAAGATTAGGGTGATAGACAATAATTGTCTTAAAGAAAGTGAGTTTGGAAAGATAGAGGACAAAAAAAGGAAGTGTTTTAGGGGCATATTCCCACATCAAGGAGAGCGCGAAAAAGGTATGAAAAAAGGAAAATAGGAAGAGGAAAGATTTTTAAAAAGAAACTTCCAGGCAATTTAACGACAGCTTATTGGAATGACAGGAACATTTAACTATGATGCTCATTATGGACGTGAAGCGGAAAGCACCAACAACAGAACAAAGACATGAAGCAAGGAGGGAGTTGAGTTTTTGCGGTGAATCAAGGAGGCTGAAGAAAAAAGGAAAGATCCATAGACCGCTCTAGATACCACGGATAACATTGGTAAGGAATAGTAAAAGAGATTTGGGGGTAGAGTCCCCAATTAAAGCCAATGGTGGCTTGTTAGAAATTGGACTAACGCGCTATCAAAGCATAGTGGTACATATAGTGAGGGATCCATTTAAGTTTGAGATCAAGTATGAGGTCAAGTAATTTAATCCTTTAAATTCATATAAAAGTGAATTTTTAATGCGGATATGGTGTTTAATACTGAATTGTACTATTTATATTATTTAAAGTATTTAATACAAAAAATAAATAATGACTACAGAGAGTTCAGTGGCGTATTTATTATTTTCTTCTAGAGAACGATAGGGTTGTAGGTATATATCTTGGAGATCACCTCATGTAATTACGCCACTAGTATAGTTTATGCATTTTTTTATGACTGAATGAATGTCTATTATAAAAATTATATGAGAAACATCAGAATACAGTTCTTGTATTTGGTGACAATCTATCAATATAAACACATTTATGTCATTTACATATCATCTGCAAGGGCGCCCACAGGTGAAAATTCAGGGGAGGGGGACCGCCTATAATTTTACAAATTTGGGTTATTTGATATACATTTTTTAACTTGCGGAGGAACTAGAGGGGGAGTTGTCCCCCTGCCCCTTCCTGTGGGCGCCCTTGGTCATCTGAGAATAGTATAAATAAAGACCATACATACTTTGAGAAATTAAATAAATAACAACATTGTATAATGGAGTCGAGTTCAATGTAGTAGCGAAAACAAGTAGTATGTACACTTAATAGGTGTTAAAATACTGAGTTTTTTACTTTACCCCTTGAATAGAACCACATGAAATATAACATATGTTTTTATTGTTACAAATTACAATATAACTTTATGAGTAGGTAAACTTAATTAAACTGTACTAACTCCAGTTGTATTCAAAAATAGTAAATAGAAAACTACTCATATTACAAAAATAAAAATAGAGATTCTTGAAAATGTTATCAATTACAAAATATCCTTATATATATGTATACATAACTATAGTATATACCTAAAATAATAAACTCTTAAAATGTACATAACATTAAGTACATAAAGTTAAACATCTCTTAAAGAAAAATAATTTATTTATATACAAAGTGATTTGGACACACAATATCACATTATTCAACATATTGTCACAAATCTACTTGAAATACTAATTTGATCATTGAAAAATATTTTAACATACATATTTTGTTCCAAATACCATAATTTTGTAACTACTAAATATTATAAGTGTTAAGTATAACTGTTTAAAAAAAAACATTTTTATAAATACAAAATGATTATGTATGAAGTTTAAACTTAGGACTTTAAGTCAGTTAATGAATAGATGATGAATAAGTTTGATAATAAGTTTGTAATTATTATATTTCCATAATGACTAATATAAAATTATTATTTTTTTAATGGCACTAACTTATATTGTATTTTTAATTGGTTCTTTTTTTTTTGTACGTGTCATGGCAATAACCAGAAAAATTCAACATAAAATATTAAAAAATTGTTGCTGATATTAATAATTAACTATATATTACAATATATAGTTTACAAAGGAAATTGATAAATAACACAACAAATAAGACAATATAATACTTAATATTAAAATATTGGAATTTTAAAAAAAAATATTATATAAAAAAAAGGAAGACCTGTTAGGTAAAAGTTAAGACTTGAACACGGTCACGGCAGTCTTTTACATATAATAGAACAAGAAGGCAATCGTGACCATAATCAATCATATTTTACATTATTTTAAATATTCCCTCATAATTGTACACATAAAAATAGTTAAGTTTTAGTTAAATGTTCATAACTTAGAAAAAAAAAAAGAGATATGGAACTGCAGTATCATCACATTATTGTACACTCACAGCATTGCATAGCAAAATATAAGCACTCCATGCCGCAACTAGTTTTATCTGCATCATCTTCAACTGGGTACTCTTTAACAATACCATTACTGGGTTTATCACAACCGATTCCAGGAAACTTGCCATCACCGTTACTCATGTTTGGATGACCATCTGTGTTGTCTTTGCTGATCATAGGTTGATTACTTTCGACTGACTCGTGCACAGAATCTTCATTGTCTCGCTTTGCCGAATCTGCACTGTTTAAGCTGTCCGCTGAAGAACTAACACCTCCACTCGAAAGCAGTTTTTGATTGTTGACACTGATGTTGGCATTGCGATACTAAAACAACAGTACATAATTTTGATATAATATAAATTCACTATAATAGTAAAGAAAAACATATCTGGTTCACACTTCTAAGACAACATCAATCAACTTCTACAAGTTTTGTTTTTCTTGAAAATACAAAGCAAGGCAGCACGTTGATTTATGATGCCTTTGTAATTTTATTATATTTTGTTACTAACCAATTCGTTGTTAGTGGGTTCATTGCTGGTAGATGGAGTGTCATTGGTGTCCAATATTGTGGTAGCTGTGTTGGCTTGAGTACCACGGTCCATTGTTTGTGGCCGGTTGTTTACGTTCTCCAAGAGTATACGACCCGGCCGCGGAGTGTGACGGGGATGGAGCACAGATGCAATGGCCGGATCCGATGGGGACTGCACTTGAAGTTGGGTAGTTACTGCCGTAGACTTTGTTTCCGTTTCGATCAACCTGAACATAAAACAAACAATACCATAAGACAATTTGTAATACAATAATAGTAAAACAGTTATTACCAACCGAAACATGTTTTTTTGTTGGTTTTTCAATAATATATAAACCAATAATTGTAAATAGATGAGCTGCAAATCGTACGCAAATAAATTATCCATGCTATGGTACACTAATATAGGTAATTATGATGACCTGTAGTAATACTGAATTAGATATAGTAATCTATCATAGTTTGCTTACAGTAAAGTCACAACTATCAAGCCACGTACGTTTCACATGGTATACTGAAATGTTTTTATTTTATCGATAACTGCATGCTGACGTTGCTGCATTTTTAATAATTATTATTATAACATAGACAAATATAATATAACATATACCACATTCTATCAATATCTTTCTTTGGTTTGTTATGAAATAACGAGATTAAATTTCAGGATAATAAATTCATCAATCGCGTATATTTAAAAAAAAAATCCGATAAAATACAAGAATTTTTTTTTTTTTAATCATTAATTATTATGAATAACGAACTGAAAACTCTAAAAAAAATGAATGAAATGAACTAACTTTGCAAATTTTGACGTTATAAAATTTAAAAAAAAATTATGGGCGCAAAATAAGTCTATTGAAACTATTCTTGTTTAATAATTTCTCATCCGTTTTTTTTTTATCGCGAAGGCAATATGATAATAATAACATTTATAACAGCTGGTCACAAATTTTAAATTATGTTTTTCTTAAACCCGGCTAGCGACCGTTACATTTTTTTAATTTTGGGGTTAGTAAAACGGCAGAATCGATAAAACTATATATCTAGTATCAGTTATCTGCTGTAAATGACGAAGTGCATCATCTGGTTTTATCTAATCTGTTGAGTATGTTAAAGGCATTAGCACAGAAGTGTTGCCAACCTTATTTTTCATTTATTTCAAATAAATAATGACTAAACATATTTACAAAAATCCTATTACCATAAACTAATACATTTGTTTTTTTTTCGTGTGAGATTCATATCACAAGATCAAAAATGTTGCACAATTTTTTTATTCTATTTATTTTTAGAGTTTATTAAGTTTGAAATACATTTTAGAAGTAGGATTTTAACGTACAAAACACGCGTAAAAGTTGGAAAACTTGTAGATTTAAAAAACTAGACGTGTGACGCGATGAGAAAAATTTTAACCAAATTCAATAAAAAAATGTATGTATTTTGGTTTTTATTTCTAAAAAGTGTCAAAATAGTTGACATATTTTTTTATGAATAAAAAAAATTAATCCAAGCTTAATTTTAATGTAGAGCGACCTACCGAGGTACCTACGGAAAATATAATTCAATTTTCTTTTATTTAATTAAAACAATGATTACTAGATTACACGTCATGTGTAGTGTGCCTATAAAGTTACCTACTTATATTTATATTTATTTATATCTTTAAATGTTAACCAGATTTTTACGAGAATAGTGTTTTATTTATTTAACATAATTTACGTACTCGTAAATGGTTTTTGTTAAAAGAGACATGGAAATTCAATTGATGCCAAAAATACGACTTACGTAATGTGTAAAATAAAAATGTAAAATCCAAATTCAAGGTTGATTTAATAGCAACTAAATTCGTAATCATAATGAAATATACATAGGTTATTACAATATTTCTTAAATCGGTATCAACACGTTTTTTATAACATAAAATGTGCCTACTTTTTTTAATGTTTATATTTTTTTCTTATACCTAAAATACTTATTAAGGTATATTATGTATTTTTTTTATTTTTATTAATGGTAAAGGCTTCAATTACAGGATTATTAGCCTAGAAGTTAATGTACGGTATATTATGTATTATATTATATAATATATACTATACGTATATTTTATTGTATTCTTCAATGAGGAGATATTTAATAATGTACGTTTAATGTGTATTTTAATACTTAGTTAACATTTATAAAACCATTTCAGTCAATTTCAATTAAATTTCCTAATAATGATAATTTTTAATTTTCCAGCTTCCATCATAATGGAATGTAATTATGAAAATTGAAGACTTTGTCGGACTCATACGATAACAGTTTTTAGCAGCACTCCACATTTATAAAAGAACATATTATTACAATCATCATTGAGCTCTAAATCACTTCATAATTTTAACAGTGTAAAATTTGTTTTTTACGATAACAGCATATAAGTGAACACATCGAGTGGACTAGACTTTAAAACGTGCTGCCAGTTATTGTACGAGTAGTTCTGAAAATCAGTATACAAATTTTTTTCTAATTTTTTTTTTTGAAAATATTATTGAGTTAATTTTAACCATATTTGAATAATCTAAAATTAAAATCTAATTTAAACTAATTACACGTTTCTCAGATACAATCGTGTTAGCCGAACAAATGTCAACATCACATATTCTTTAATATGTTAATTGTTTCATAGCACCAACGTATGTCATTTGTGAAACTATGATAAGTTTTTAAATCATGAATAATAATAATGAGTTTTCATAGAGATAACAGAACACTACCGAGACGTTTAAACAATCGTGTGATTTAGCATATTGTTTAGTTACACTTTAAACTGATACCGGTTGATTACACTGAGTTGTTATATCTTAGATTAGAAATCAACAGTTAGGTGGTGTGAGGCGGTTTGGACATGGTGGGGGGGGGGGGTGAACACTTACCTCAACGGTGTCCACAATAACGCCATGGATGTGTCCCTGTGAGAGTGAGCGTCACTCTTTTACAAGATGGCGTATCCAAGAACGTATCGAGTAGACTACTTGAATGTTATTCCGTTATTAGCATAATGAAGTATCGCCAAAGGTTTTTGGGTACGCGAGAACCATTTAAACGCAAACGACCGGAGTGCACTTCCCAAGAGGAGCGGCTACCACAACTGGGTTCCAACAGAATTAGGTACTCTCTACTGCTATAGAGATCATCAACGAAAACAAAAACGCACCATTGCGACCGGCACCGTCAATGACCGTCGATTGATTGACAGAGAACGACGAAGAGGCAACAAAAAAACAACAACGTAAGATGATTAAATGACTAATAAAGAAGCGGAAACTACAAAATTACCAGAGATTTGTGTCGCCTCGGCCGGCAAGTGTAGGCAGTAGGCGAAAAGTAGGTGTCGAGATGCTCACGCATGGGGAACAAGCTTGTTGTTTTTTGCTCTATCTCGCTCCGACGGTCACACAGATTGTAGGTAGTGGATTTTTTTTCTTTTTCTCGGTGCGCAGATCCGATAGAGAGTTTTAAATTAAAAAACAATAAAAAATCACAAACGTCCAAATTGCCCCACGGCGCGTACGTCGGTATAATACCTATCACGGCAAACTAACTATTTACAAATATTGTCGGATACACTTTGCATGTAGCCAGTAGCAGCAATTAGATAAGTGATGTTTTTATTTTTCATACACAAACACTGAGCTGGTGTTGTTAGACTAGTAGCCAACACGGTGAAGTAGTTCAGACGACGATGGAGACGAACCATTCGAGTTGAGTATTACCTCAGGCATATTATCTTATACTGGTTAAGTGTACAATAACAGGTAACTCATTATAACACTGTTTTCTCTAGACGACTATAAGAAATTGTTGTAAAAACAAGAGAAAAAAAATAAATTTGTACGGTTTACGCGAAATACGAACACTCGGCACGCGACGAAAACATAATTAAAAATATATTAACATGGTTACCGCAGTTAGTTACATGATAATAATAAAATACACATGCAGCCAGACAACAGTAATTAGTGTTTGACAGCTGGCTTTTAATGCATTCACACAACACAAGTGACAAGAGCTCTTATTATTATTATCGCGTGTGGCGTATTTAAATATCCATTGTAAGATAAATCGTTTACTCGCGAATAATTTACATATATTTAAAAAATTTAATTTCAATTTTCTTTGATTAGTCTTGATCTGTGACACCACAACCTAATATGAGACGAGACTGATTAACAGTGAAACGACTCGATAGAAATTTTAGTTCATTATAAAATAATATTATAATGGTTAAATGGGTTTAATGCCACATTCTTCTCGGACGGTGGTGTTAATGTTATCACAAACACAATCTAATGTTAGATTATTAGAAGCAATTTTCATTCGTTTGATTATTATTAGTAATTACTAATCTACGATCGAGGGCATCAAAAACAAAGGGTCAATACAAAATAAGTTAGTTTTGCAATGCACCGTACTCAACGATCAATAATTATGATGTTTTCCAAAAATAAAATATTATGAAATTATTAGCGAAATCAACATCCTTATTATTACCTATTTGGTATTTTTATTGTATGGTGTTATTTAGGCCAGTACAAGGTGCTGATTAGCTTGATAAGGTCGGTTACTCGGCATTTAGAAAACATTAAATATTTAGATACTTTCTGTAATAAAAATTACCTATTTTGCTCAACATTTTACTCAATTACTATTTTAAGATTTATTGCACAATGATAATAACTGTAAACTAGATTTTTAAATAAAAGCTTTTTTTATCAAAAGACACGATATGACGTGGATATAGGGTATAATCTGGTGTTGAGTAAATGTGCGTAGTACTTATTCAATTTTTTTATTATTATTATCTAGGTATACGAAGCAACGATGTAAAGTAATAAAAACAAAAATGGGTAACGTTTGTCGTTTGTACAATATGAGTTATAACTTTTAGATAAAGAATAATTTAGACTGGCCAAAATACCAAACTTAATAACGATATTCATAAAATATCAAGTAATACCGGCATTGAAATTACGTAATCGTTCAGTTGATTACACTGACACTATACATTATTTTTGTTATTTGCGCATTAAGCTTACAAATCTCAACCTCACTACTCGTTTACTGACATACCCTATATTATTATAGCTACATTTTAATTTTATTACGATATAATAAGTAAAATGTATCACTAAAAATGTATAAACACATTTTTTTTTATTATGGCCAATGGATTATTAATTGAACTATAAATAAAATATCTTTTGAGTTGAATCAAAGTTAATGATAATACTACGAAGAGTCAGTTAAGTAAAACTAAGATTGAAATTTGAAAATGAGATGTAACATTTGAAAATTATTAAAGAGGGATGTTGAGTAGATGTTGTTCATTTGAGTTATTTAAATGACTTTTTTTCTAGTTTAATAAGATTTCGTTTATTTTACTACGGAAATCTGAATAATTTAAATTATTTGAATTCTTCGAATTAAAAAAACATAACTTTTTACCTGAAACTTAAATACATCTAACAATATAAATAACAATTTAAAATGTTCATTAAAAAACAAAAAAAAATCAAGATAGCCATTTTATAAAGTACATTTTTTACCTATTCTTAATTTTTTTATAAGGTTGGTAATGTGTTTATTGGTGGTCGATATCAGGTTATGAATAAGTACTTAAGAAGTTATTATCATATAAAAGTGTAGGCAAGGTGGCGAAGCACAGGGAAATATTTTAATCTATGCGCTCTACTTCACCGCATTTACTTTCCCAGATAACCTCAATTTTATTAAAACGATAATAACTTAAAAAATATTATCAAATTCAATCTTAATTTATTTTAATTTTTTTATTTATTAATAAAAAGTGATATTTAAATTTTTTTATTTATTTTAAAATAAACAATATTTGTGGTCTATAATTTAATTTGTCATTTTGAAAACAATGTTATAGAATATATCAAATCTACGTGTCCCGCCCTGTATTGTTGTAAAGTAACGTTGAGCCATAAAACAAATAACTATATTGTGGTTTAATTTATAGATTCATCATAGGATTTATATAGGTAACGTGAAAATTAATTTCGCAGTTTCTATTGAAGATTTGTATTTAAAAAATAAACGTCTAATATCACTAAATAACAATTTGCCCACGTGAGTCTTAATACAGCATAATACGAATTACGATATATTATTACATTGTAAAATTATTAAAAGTAAACCGATTTTTCAGGGTGGCGTGGACAAAAAAAAACTGAAACGGTATAATGCGCTATGGTAATCGAACACTGTGCGTGGCTAAAAAGGAAAAAACTGATCATACACATGTACATAAAATTACGTAGCATATTTCTGTATTTCATTGAAAGAGAGGGTGGAAGTATTTAGGACTTCCTCCTATACATTGCGTTAGCATCAGCCGATACCAACGCGAAAATGTCCGTGACAAAATGCAGAGTAGAATACATACCTAATATACAAAAATATACACTATGTGTTCTAAAGTAATACCAACAATAATAATGTCACAGTGCGTTCAATTCTCTTATGTCTCGTATCCGGTCGAAATTCAACACATATTATGAAAAAAAAATCGCCTTAGAAGAATAAAACACATTTTTTTACTTCAAAAATGGCTTTTCGACAATTCCATTAAAAAAAATTTTGAATCGGACAAATGAAAAACTTTTTTTTTTAACAATAAAAATTTTTTAAAAATATAGTGTACAGCCGTAGCGTTCTGGGACATACTGTATATTATGTACAAACGTTGTAATAGCCTCCACCGGTAGCAAAATTCGCGTACAATACATAACCATAATAATAATACACAATACATAATGCCCCGTAACTAAGCAGGTGAAAACTATATATTAGTACTACGCCACCGCGCAACGTTTCCATCGCCATCGGACCATAAAGAAATGCTCAAATCTCCGGGTAGAGCAACTGCACCTATATATATATATATAAATCCATAGATTGATGTATAAAATATTGTGGTATAATAGTCACAATTTACAGTACACCATGAACACAGGAGACGACGCAACAACAATGCACGGTGTGTTTCACCCAGTTTAACGTCACGGGTTTTGAAAGAAAAACATAATAAAAACAAAATTTTAACGATCCCTTTTTATTTTTTTTAATATAATAAAAGACGACAGTAAAAATATAAAAGTTAATAATCAGTTTTTATCCGCCGCGAAAATGCACGCACAGACATGAAAAAAAAGATTATCGAGTAAGGTGCTCTCCTCTCCTCCCTCCATAATATATAATAAAAATATAGCGGTGGTTGTACATTACAGATGTCGGTAACAAAAAAAACCCACCCGAATAGATATTATGATTTTTTGTTTTTTACGACCGGGTTCCAAAGCTTCTTTAAAAATAATAAAAATAAAAAAAAACAAACAGCTGCCGTCGTCGGTGGGAACCACTGGAAATGCGGCGGCAAAAAAATACTTAGGTACTCGGTCACGTTTTTTGTTCGATACTTCCTACTCCTCGACGATGTATACCCGTCCGCTATACACGAGTACTTGTAACTTGTGTATATACTTATAACATATTATGTATACATAGTACAAGTCTACCAAAAATGCCACGCTCATCATCAACGACACGCGCCCATTGATAGACGGTAACTTGGATTTTGTGAATGAATCGACTTTCATTTTGAAAAAGGTAACGGATGCGCACTGGTTTCCCTCCAAAAAGTTAAAGCTTGGACCACGGGCTGTTGTTATGATTTGAATTGTGCACGAACGAAAGTAGAACACGAGCAAAGTCCAAGACTTCATTTAGTAATATTATTCGTAGAATCGAGATTTTTTATATATATTATGTACATGAAAACAATTAATTGCCACGCAAATGGCTAAGCACCTTGGCGCTACATTTGAATATTAAAGTACTTTATAGATACCTTTATATGATTAGGTAATAGACGTACAAGTAAAATTATTATTATATTATTTGCAATAAATAGTACTGATTAGAAACGCGTTCATATTACAAATACTGAGAAATAGGAGCAATTAGCATAGACCATCAAAGGCCGGTCACCCGCTCGTGAGTTAGATAAAGGTAATTAAATATCAAAATGAAACATTATACTTATCATATTATAGTATATACTAGTGAATGCTTCAAATATAAAAGCCGATAAAAGTTATATAATTGTACACTATTATTAGTTGTGAGGTATTACGTTTTAAGAAAATAAAAATTACTATAAAAAAAATAAGATCGTTAACAGGGCTTGCAATGTAAATAGACCAGTAGTAGCTAATAAAACTATATAATCATATTTTAAACAATTATTTTTTTATTTCAAATGTTGAATAAAAATAATATTGTAAACCGTAAAACTACTATGTAGATAATAGCTCATTTTATTAGTTTATTAATTATATAAACTTACTTGGCAGCAGAGCCAAGCAGTTTAAATACTTAGGGTCAGTTATAACTGAAAAGAATGAGACAGTCAAGGAAATTTCAGCAAGGATACTTGCCGGCAATAGAGCTTACTATGGACTAGCAAAACTGCTAGGATCTAGATCTTTATCGAGGGAGCTTAAGATACAGCTATATACGACATTACTGCGTCCAGTTATAACTTACGGAGCGGAAACGTGGCCACTACGAAAAGAAGATGAAAGAAAGCTGATAGTATGGGAGAGAAAAGTTCTAAGGAAGATTTATGGACCGATGAAAGATAGCAATAGTAATGAGTTAAGGATAAGAACGTATAATGAGCTAGAATTACTTTTCCAGAAGCCGAATATATTGGAGACAGTAAGGAGTAAACGACTAAAGTGGGCTGGACATGCTTAGCGTAGTCAGAATCCCTTGCTACGCATAGTATTAGAAAAGGATCCAGCAGGG